AGGGAAAGGTTTTTCCCTGGGTTTGTATGATCCCGGCCGTCGCTCAACAATTAAGGGTGTGCATTGGTGGGTCTCACATGATGAACCCAGAGATTCTGGAGCCAGACCAGGCTTCGGAAGAACATTCAAATAGCCATTCTGCCAGTGATGTGGCTTTCATCAGCCCTCCGTGCTGATCTAGGAAGCATAATACTTGACAACAGATAGGGAAGATCTCACAGCTCAGTGAAAAACATTGACATGCAGCTGGTCACAGGTTCAAACCCTGACATCTCCAGTTTCAAAAATGGCTCTCAGGTGACAGGTGATTGGAAAGACCCCGTTCCTGAGACTGTGGAAAGTTTCTGCCCATCCAAAGGCAACAATACTGGACAAGAAGATCAAATCTGATCTAAGGTAGCTTTGTTATATGGGGTGAAACATCTCAGCGCATCTTAGCTAAGCAGAAGAACTGAAATCACAATGTCGATGCTCAGAAATAGCACTGCCTGAGTAAGGCTTGAAGTTAGAGGTGATTTACCCTTATTGTCCCTCCCAACTCTACAATTCTATGATTTTATTCCTGAAATACAGGTGAGATTTATTTGGTGGCGGTGATGTCTAAAGCAACAGCAGCTAATTAAGCACGTTTGCTAAAATATGAATCTGTCCTTCTTTTTTAAAGAGCAATGTGCAAATGACCTTTTCACATTTTCCACTTTCTTTGCAGATGAAGAAGTTGGAGAGACCCAACGTTCATACCGTTAGAATCTGAAATTTTCTTGCTTGGTTATTGGAAAGGCATTATCTTGGAAAACGACCTAGAAATAGCAGTTAATCTTCAAGAGTAGCGATTGCTAAGAAATGGAAGAGAAGTCGATTCCCTACAGAAGCCGAGTAGATAGAAATGATTGGGTCTGTATTAATATGGATCAAGTTAACATATTCAAAAAAGAATTTGCATAAGTCAACCATTATGCACTTTGGGGCAAAATGGGTTTTGTTTGTAATGTTCTGGAATAAGTTTAATGACAACGTCAAACTTTTACGCTGCTCTGAGTTTCTTACAATGTTATTGTACTTTAGGAAACCCTAACTGCATTTTATCTGTAAAAAAACTTTTGATTTATCTCAATGCATTAGTGAGTTAATAAAGCATTTAAAGGAAGGAAGGAAGGAAAGAAGGAAGGAAGGAAGGAAGGAAGGAAGGAAGGAAGGAAGGATAGAAGGAAGGAAGAGGTTGGGGGGGACCATTTTGCCAGAATTATCCAGGGAGAGGAGAAATTCGAAAATGTCTTTCTTTTCTTTTCTTAAGGATTTGGGGATTTTTTTTGCCATTGAAATTTAAGATCTGTGCTGTCAGCATAACCACCACTTTGTATGCCCCAAAATACACAATTCTGGGACATTAGGTGATACAAACAGTGGTCACCACCAGCAAGGTACTAAAACTTAAACAAAAAGACCCGACCTGCAAATGAGTAACAATGGAGGATATTTAGTCTTTTTCCCCCCTAGGGAGGTGAGAAAATGAAAAATCTCAAAATATTATTTCTGACAAATGTCCTCTGAAAATTTTCAGTTCAGCTCAGGTGTGTCCTTTGCCCCCCCTCTCTGCAAAGTCCCAACTAATTTAGGGTTGCCATATTTTGAAGAGCAAAAAAGAGGATAAATTTGCCAACTTCTACTTTTAACTACAGATGTCTGTGATGACTCCCATTTTACATACCCATGAAAAAGAGGACATGTCCTAGAAATAGAGGACCTATGGCAATCCTATTACTGGAGTCATTAGGTTTTAGGAGATTTAGGGTTTTGCGGGAGGGTGTAGGTAGAAGTACTTTTTAAAAAAAAAATAATGGCTGCCTTCCAATTTATTGACAAGACTTGAAGTTGTAAGCTTCTTCTCTCTTTTTTGAAAAAAAGCTGGCTTTTAAAAGCAAAACTTGAAAATATATGAATGATAATGCATGTGAGAAGGTACCCTGGCACCTGAAACATTTATCCAACCAATGCTCATCTTATTCAGACAACACTGGCTGAAATTAATTACTAACTTGGATCCAATTCTGAGTTGGACTTGATTGCATACAGTCCTTAAGGCACCAGCTAGACACTTAGCTTCAACACTTGGAAATGACTTCTGGGTATTTGTGCAGGCCTGTAAAATGTTAACACGGGGCACATCTGCACTACAGATTGCAAACTGATTTAGCCATATTTCCTTTCTCCCCGGGAACATAGTGCTGCCAGGAGACCTAGCAATCTCTTCGACAGAGTATCACCTTGACCAAACCACAGTTCCCAATAACCTTGGGGTGCGAGGTGGGGAGCCAGGATAGGTAAACTGGAATAATAAAGCTGATTTAAGTTTATGCCGTTGTGAGAAACTCCTTTTTACAGTGCACGGGCAATTATGTAAGGAAGGGCCTGGTGCAAAGTGATCAATGGGAAAAGAAAGAGATGGGATAGCCAACTATTTCAGAATGCAAAATCTCCAGTACAGTCGTACCTTGGCACCTGAACATAATCTATTCTGGATGTCCGTTCGACTTCCGAAAATGTTAGAAAACCAAGGTGCGCCTTCCAAATGGCTGCAGGCGTTTGCTGCACTCAATCAGAAGCTGCGGAAGCTAAGTTGGACATTCGGGTTCCAAAGAACGTTCGCAAACTGGAACACTCACTTCTGGGTTTGTGGAGTTCGGGAGCCAAAACGTATGAAGAAGAAGAAGAGTATGACTCGCAAGGCATTCGAGAAGCAAGGTATGACTGTACAGTAACACAGAGATGGGAAGATGAGGTGGTTTCTGAAGTCAGAGCTTGATGTTATCTATAAGGTGGTGCCTTTGACTGCAATCGGTAACCCTGGCTGTCTGCTTTCCTCCCTCCCTGTAACGCCGCGTAAAACAAAAATTCGGGATGTGGCACTGTCATGGTGCCACAAAACCAGTGAAGTACAACAGGGACAGAAATAAATGCAGGATGTTGCTTATGTTGTTTCACATTCTCCCCCACCCATTAGATAATACTGGGATGGGGTGGGGGGGGGGAGAGAGAGAGAGAGAGAGAGAGAGAAGGAGCAACACCCGTCTTAATGTTTCCTCCAGTACAATCACTTCCGGCCGGCCACAATGCAGATGTCGCCAAGCTTTGGGGAGCCGTGGGGCCCATTTGCAAGCCAGAGATAACTCACAGGTGCTACACACCCCACAAGCCAGCAGACACATCCATAGCATGCTCTTGGTTACCACAGAATGCTGCTTCCAAGCTCAACTTGAAACCGGGGAGGGGATCACATGGGTAGCAGGAAGGACCTCTGTGGGCAGATGTGTGCCCACGGGCACCTCTTTGGCAACCTCTGCCCTATTGTATAGTTTCTGCCTTGGCAGCAACTACAGGAAGACCTGAGCACCTGATAATTACCCCTCTTGCCCAAACTTACTCTAAAAACCAACCCTGTACTCTAAAAACCCCTAAACCTGGATGAACCCTAAGCAAAGCGAATGCTGGACTCACAACAATTCGGCATTAAGGTCTCAATACTATTTCTGTGTCCTGGAACTTGATCTAGAGATGATTTGAAAACATTGGCACTGGACGGGAGGGAATCAGAACTGAAAATCTGCAAACAAAAATAAACAAAAACCAATCAGACACCCTCGTAATACTATTTGTCCTTGCTTTAGGAATGAGTTTAAATAGTGGTTCTGGAATATGGTGGGAAAGGTTGCCCCTTTATACTGAAGAAGTTTGGGGAGAGAGGAATAAGGCTGGCTTTGGATGGTGTTGTCTTGGGACCTTGTCTTCTTGCCAACAGCCTCTTGCCAATCTGGTGCCTTTCAGATGTTTTGGACTACAAATCCCAGTGCTGGGTGGGAGTCGTGACCACAACATCTGGATGGCACCCAATTGGCGAAGTCTGGTGTTCTGCATGGGAGCTGACCTGGCCACAGACTGGAGGCATCCCACCTGTTGGCACAAGACTCACGGTTTGACCTCTGCCAGGTCTCTGTGCAAAACTCTTCTGCCACAGTCTGTAAGAGAGGTTGCCAGCCCATCCCTGTGGGGGAAACAAGGGGGAGCTGGACCCTAGCAAGATGCTTTGTGGGGGACCCTAGCAAGATGCTTTGATTGACGCCCCCAGGTCCCACTTTAAGAACCCCAGGAGTGGGCCCGATCCACACCTGTGTCGAAGCTGCTGTCAAAGTTCCACGGAAAGCGCAACTGCGAGGCAGATTTGGCAATCTGGCAGACCAAAACAAGCAAACAGAGGAGTTCAAAGGGAAGCAAAGGGAATTTCTGTAAGACTTGTGACGCTTCTTGGGTCAGAGGGAAGGAGGGTCTGTACGCCCCATTTATCAGAGGAGCTGATTTTGTTCTCCCCACCACCACAAAGTCCAGAACCTTAACTACTTCAAGCTATAGGGGAGTAAAAATTCTGTTCTCTGGCAGTGCAACAGGAGAGGGAAATTACATAGCACCTCTCTTGCCCATTTTTACAGGCTGTTTTCCATCACAAGCAGAACCTGGGCAGGTGGGATAGTGAAGGTCATACACAAAGTTTCCTTCCACAGCCCCAGCTGCTCCTCAGCTCAGCATCAGAACTTCACATAATGTGTGGCTTGTTCCATAATGTGTGGCTTGTTCCACACATTATGCTGAACACAGCGATCAGCGTGTGTGTGGAAAATTGTGACTTGCACACACAGACTGTACACTCCTTGATTGTTACATGTGAATAACCATACAAGCGTACAGCTCAGTAGATGTGCACCCCGGGCCAGAAAGACTGTGCACTCGTCGTCAAACGTAACGGGTGAAAACCCCCCAAGAGAAGTGGCAATGGGTGGCTGTAAACCGAAGTTACAGAGGGTTTTTTTCCTTTAAAAAAGTGTGCCAACAAGCTTTCCAAAAGGCAACCACTGGGGTACAAGAGAGGTTATTACCCACAGAGAGGCCATCCGAAGAAGGGTGCACCTAAGATGAGGGAAAGGAACTTGACACCTTATTTTCTTTTTTTTAAGAGGGGGAAGGAAGCAAACAAAACTCAACGGAAGTCCTAATCTCAGCAGAACTCCAGTGACTTCATTGGAATGGGACCTGGCCTAGAAGGTCGTTCTCTTCTTCTTAGCAGAACTGGATATGAGGGTCAAAGGACTTCAAGTGGGGTAGGGTGGGGTTGTTTACAAGGAGGTTTTTGCTGGCTCAGCAACACGGTCTGTAATGTGAGAGGGTGGGGCACGACTGGATTTGCTAACGACAAATGCACCTGGTCTTCCCCCCCCTCCCAGCCCAATGCAGGAAGCAAGTTTCGCTCCTGGGATGTACTATGCGTCAGAGAGATGGCAGGCCCCTAGGTCTGCTGCGGTGGTGGTTTCCTAGGTCGGACGGAACAGGGAACGAGCTGTCCATGGTGGGTTCCTTCTCCCGGTGGTGGGTGGGTGAGCCCCGAGGGCTTCCTGTCCAGTCCTCCGCTGCTGACCAGAAGGTCTGAGAGGGGAGATGTGTGGCACCTCGGCCTCCTTGCTTGGGATCTCGGGCCGGGCGCCTTCTCCTCCAGCCTCTCAGAGATGACCGACGGCGCTGAAGCCTCCTGGCTCAGAAGCAGCACCTGCCATGTTCAACCAAGCATCCAGAGAGTTCTGGGAAGAAGGATGGAGGGGAGTGTTCTCAGAAAGGGACAACATCATTGCATAAGCCTAAGGGGGGGAAGAGAAGAAAAACACAGCGAGGGAAAGAGGGCATCAATACATGCTGGTCAGATCTTTGTCAGCAAAGAAAAGTGTGTGTGTGTGTCAGGATTCTAAGAAAGGCAGTGCGGTGTAGTGGTTAGAGGGCTGGGCTGAGACCCAGAAGCCCAGGTTTGAAATCTCTCACTCAGCTGTGAGGCTTACTAAGGGGGCACAGTCTCTCAGCCTGGCCTACCTCACAGGGTTGTTGTGAGGATGTAATAGGAGAAGAGGAATGATGCACACCTCCTTAAGCACCTTAAAGGAAAGGTGGGACATAAATGTAGTCATGATAAACAAATGTCACCCCCATTCACTTCAAGGTACTTTGGTGCAAGAGCACTTTCCTGGTGGTGTGGCATGTTTTTGCATGGGACTAGGGACGCGAAAGCACGTCAAATTGCAAGTAGATAAATAGGTACCACTCCGGCGGGAAGAGCAGCGATCTGTGCGCTGCTCTGGTTCGCCAGAAGCGGCTTAGTCATGCTTGCCACATGACCCAGAAGCTGTACGCCAGCTCCCTCAGCCAGTAAAGCGAGATGAGCGCTGCAACCTCCGAGTCGGTCACGACTGGACCTAATGGTCAGGGGTCCCTTTACCTTTACCTATGGTAGCAAGCACTGTGCTCTCCAGATGTTGCCAGACTTCAAGAGTTGTGTCTGGCGTTCTTCACGCTCAGAATATACCCCTGCTGGCTTGTAGCCAACCAAGTCCTACTCCGAGTAGACCCACTGGAATCAATAGACCTAATTGGGTCATGCCCATCAGTGGGTTTCTTTTGAGCAGTGGGTTTCTTTGGGGTGGGTTTCTTTTGAGCAGGGCTAGCGCTGAATGCAACCCAGCGAAGGGAACGGGCACGACCCCCAAGGTCTTTTAATTTTTATGCATCTACTCTGATTAAATCTCAGTGGCTGCCAAGGTTGTCTTCTATGAACTCCAGTCCATATGGCCAAGAGATGATGGGAGTTGCAGTTCAGTAGCTTCTTGAATGTGCCACATTGGCTACCCTTGCTTTTGGGGTGGGGGGGTGAGATGGGAAATCAGAATGGCTCAGTTTACACATCTCATCCTCTGGCATCCTTATGCTTCAGTTCCCTCACTTCCTGACTGAGGTTGCCCCCTTGCCCCGCATCAAATAATTGATTGGATCAATGGGGAAGGGGATGACCTGTCTCCCACCTGCTCTAGTGGCCATGCCCATTTTTAAGCCACACTCGCTACCTCTGGCATGCCGCCTCTGGGGGCTTGGAAGGTGGCAATGTGGTCCTTGAGCCCGAGAAAGCTAGTCCCCCCTCCTTGAGATGGCAATGTCACCACTTGCTTCCAAATGTGGTAAGTGAGCACTGCTGCAATGGGAAGGGGGGAGGCACCCTACTCATTTCTGCTGAGTGGGGCATCCCTGGACCTCTGCCCCCTGATGGCACCACTGCTTGAACTGGATGAGTTCTTAGGCTGTCCTTGCTATGGAATCCAGGGGGGAGGGTTTATTTCATAGAAACTGTAGAGTTGGAAGATACCACCAAGAGCCATCTAGTCCCCCCGCAATGAAGGAATCACAGTTAAATAATCCCTGATACATGGCCATCCAACCAGAGGATGGTGTTTCCACCAGACTGATTGATCTGAATCAGTATCAGAAAAGTGTGGTCAGGGGAAACAATGTCCTGTGATCCCCATCCTACTGAGATCCAATAGCAAATGTTGACCATGGAATCCAGGGAGATGAGTGCAGGATTCCTCACTAGGAAAAGAGGAGGATGGACTTCAGAGTGAACAGTAAAAAGGTTTAGGTTTGGGAAATGAAATCCTGTGTTCTCCCTCCTTCTCAGCTCTACTGCCTTTGGTGAAATCACAATTCTGTGTTGGTGTATATACCATTGTAGCAAAGCAACAACAGGAGCCCTCTGTAAAACCAAGACTGAAATTGCAGGGAAACAGGAACAGAGAACACAAAGTCCATAAAAAATTAGTAGGTTTTCAGCATATTAGTATTAAAAAGACAAAGACAAAGAGACATGCATGGAAACAGGAAATGAGACCTCCCTTTCTTTCTTAACAAACAAGAACATGATAATTAAGTTTCCCACACAAAACAAAAGTAGGGGAGCTTGAGGTTCTCTGCAGCTACCATCAGGGAGGGTCTTTCCTACAGACTTAAAATGGTTTAAACAGCAATTCTATCTTCCCAGGTAAAAATCTTAATAACTGCAGTTCTTGGAAGAAAGGCTAGGGGGAGCTATGAGAGAGAATTTTCACGGACCTCAAATCTCCCCAGGATCAGGGATGCTGTGACAGGGTGCATGAATACTGGGGTTATGTTGCATGGGGACCATCTTCAAAGTAAACCCACTGCAACGAAGAACGTAGACTTGTTTATTTCAATGGGTCTTCTCTGAGCAGAACTCAGCTGGCTGCAACCCGCAAGACCACCACCCAAATTTGTACATGTATCGATGCAGAGGGTGGTCTTCAAACAAGTTGAGAAGGTGGGCAGCTGGGCTCTCAACAGAACTTTGCAGTTTGCAAAGCAATGTTTCTTGAGTTTAAGAAAAGAGTGGTGATGTGAGAGGCAGTTGAAAGGATCTCTACCACTTCACCAATGCTCCTGCCAAGGATTCTTGCTTCTTCCTTTTTCAAGGCGAGGAGTGGCAAGCTATGGCAGTATGAAACAAGTGCTGGGTTGAACCTATTTCTCCATAATTCAACAGCCAGCGAGAATCTTGGTCTCTCTAAAGCAGGGCTGGAGAAGCAATGGTCCTCCAGAAGTGGTTGGACACCCATGGGCCTCAGCAAGCATGGGTAATGGCAAGGGATGATAGGAGTTTTATTCCAGCAACATCTGGAGGGCCACAGATTCTCCACCCATGACCTACAGCAGGAGTAGGCAAGGTAGTGACCGCCTGGTTTGCTTGGGCCATGACTCCCTTCATCCTCAATCAACAGGGGTGATGGAGGCTGGTATCCAAAAACTTCTGGAGGGGACCACATTGACAGGTCCTGCTCCACAGCCTTCTGTATTCCTTCTAGCCGCTAGCATTTCATGGTGACCTAGTGCAGAAGCAGCCACGTGGCTGGAAGGAATTTCGAAGGATGCGGTAAGACAGGGAGGTTTGCTGACTGCCAATTGCACTTGGCAAGTTCTCGGACTTATTAAAAAACTGAAATAAAAACCCCCACCACCAAACCATCTACCCAAGGCTACCTCTCCTGTAATTAAGGTATGCAACCTACCCCACCACCGAGAAAAAGACCCTCAAAATTTCTAGCAACTCATGTCCATGTTTGATGCATTTTCTTGGTACCGCTCCCCACAGCAAATCTACAAAACACTGGCTCAGCCTATAAAACCCAAGAGAAATTGGCCGTGCAGGTTGACCCATTCGCCCTGCCCACCATCGCCTCTGAGGTCAGAGTGGTAGGCAACCCAACCCATAACTCCTGATGAAAACATGCCCCTATAATGTTTTGTGGGACCTGCCACTGCTTGGCTGCGAGTTCCCAGTGTTGGCCATTGCTCATGGGGACCTTCAGTGAGGAAAGGAAACCAAACGGGCTGAACCCCCTTCGTCACCACGAGAGGGAAAACTGTGGAAAATATCCCAAGGGTACACCTACCTGATTTTTAGCCTGCCTGTACAGAGTCTGTTTTATTGCCTCAGAGTCTAAGGTGGGGTTATACACATCTTTAACTTCAAAAGCTTCCTCGGACGCCTTGCGTAGATCCAGCCCCTTCCCAAACTGCGGTAACTGCTCCAAATCTAACAGGCCGGCTTCGTCCTCCTCAACACACCTGTACCAATGACCAGGAGGGGAGGGGAGGGGTGGACCTGTTAGCGCATCTGACTGTTCACAAACGGGGCCAAGGTGAGCGTCGCCAAACTCGGGCAGGGGCTGACAACATGCACAGACCATGGAGGAGCTGCCCGGAAGCTACATGCAGGACGTGTTAAAGGGAGAGAGACACACACAACACACACACACACAGAGAGAGAGAGAGAGAGAGAGAGAGAGAGAGAGAGAAGGAGAGACAGGCACATGGACGGACAGACGAGGGGCTTGCAAATGACACCGAGGAACAAGCAAAGCATGGCGTGGGCATGGCTGTGTGAGCTTGGATCGCACGCCGTCTCACTGGCATGTGGTGCTGCATGCGCCATTTGGTCTCACTGCCCAGCTGAGGAGCTCTCCCTGGAGATGCCTCAAAGGGGTTCTCAGTGCCCCCTTGTACCAGGGGTGAGGAAGCTCAGGCCCAGAGGCCAGATGTGCCTGCCCTGGCCCTGCTATACATTGCAACCCTTGGGATGCTCCCCAGACCCCATTGCTCCTGCGATGCCCACCCCCACACACCAAGTGCTTCTGCTTGGCGGGATTGGGTCCTTGCACTCTGATAATGCCTCTTGCTTGCCTGTATGGGGGTGTGTCAGCACCAGGTGGTGCCCATCCAGACTGGTAGGGTGGAAGGCGGGGAGGTCAACAGCAGGTGGCGCCAGAGCCAACAACAGGCTGAGCCAAACAGTTGTTCCCAGCCTCCTCCCTGCCGAGTTCTACAAAGGGCAGCACTGAGACCAAGGAGGAAGAAGCTGTGGGCGTCTGCTTGCATGTGTGTGTGTGTAGCTGAAAGTTATGGACTTCATAATGGTGACAAAAGAGTCCAAAAGGCCCCCTCTAGGCTCTGGAGCACCTAGTTCCCTCAGGGTAATGCCATGGTGAAGAGCAAAAACAGCAAGGACCTCACCAACTGCAGGTGAAATATGGCGAGCATAGAGGGTTTCAAAACACTGCCATGATGAGTGGATTGAGCCTCACAGTCTTTCCTGAAAAATGCTGGGTGATCCATAGTACACTTGACTATGCCTTATTTCCCAGCTGTGTGTGTGTGTGTTTGTGTGAGGTTGAGAGTTCTCATCCATGCTGGGAGGGACACAAGCTAGAGAGGACCTTAGACGTGCCTGCCAGGGCATACAGGGACCCATGGGAACTGCACTTCCCATGATCCCTGGATGCCTTGGATGAAGCAGACATGTGTGAAGGTGCCCAAAGGCTCTCTCTGCAGCCTGCGGAAGCTTGCATGGGATGCTGATGATGTTCTGTGGCTTTGCCTGTCACCACAGCTCAGGGCCAATGCTGAGAGCTGAGCTAGACTCCCTTCATTGCAGAGGTACCGATGCACCTCTAGGGTGGATGCTATAGCCACGCCAAATGGATGGTTCACGATCCCCCCCCCCACGACTTGCCAATGAGGGGTGGGAAAAGCAGGCGTTCCCCCCACCACACACTGAAAGTCCTGTCCCACCCACCTTCGGGTGCGGTCAAAACTCATGGTAAGGGACGTGGCCTCTTCATCTTCCTCATCCTCATACCCTCCTTGCGGCTCTGTCGTCGGTGATGCCGTCTCGTCCTGCGACTTCCCCGTCAGGCTGTCATCGTCTTCCTCTTCCAGTTCTTCCTCCTCCTCGTCGACATCCTCCGTTTTGTCATTTGCGAGGCCATGGCACTGGGAGTTGCCATCAGCATTCTGGATTTCAGGCCTGCGGGTTGCAAGTGCAAAGGTTTTTGGAGGGGGGTTGCGGTAAACAGAGAGCAAAGATGACTTTCAGTTTGTAAAGGTGCTTTTCGGCTGTTGGGTTATAAGAAATATGCTAGGACATTTTCTCATCCACATACCTTCCTAGCCTCTGCTCCTTTGAGAATGTCTTACGCCCAGGAAAGTAAAAAGGTAAAGGTAAAGGACCCCTGGACAGTTAAGTCCAGTCAAAGGCGACTCTGGGGTTGCATCGCTCATCTCGCTTTCAGGCCAAGGGAGCCGTCGTTTGTCCACAGACAGCTTTCCAGGTCATGTGGCCAGCATGACTAAACTGCTTTTGGTGCAACAGAACACTGTGACAGAAACCAGAGCACACAAAAACACTGTTTACCTTCCCGCCACAGTGGTAACTATTTATCTACTTGGACTGGCGTGCTTTCAAACTGCTAGGTTGGCAGGAGCTGGGACAGAGCAACGGGAGCTCACCCCGTCATGCGGATTTCAACCGCCAACCTTCCAATTGGCAAGTCCAAGAGGCTTAGTGGTTTAGACCACAGTGCTGTTGATTTAAGCAGAGTCTCGTGGCCAGCGGAAGGATGAGGCGTACGTGCTACATACTCTATATTGCTTTATTTACAGTTCAAAGCTGGTATATTACAGAAAGACATCTTGCCTCTGCCGGAGCAGAAAATGCATCCTCTCTCCTCGACAGCTCGGAGAGAATCACACAGTGAAAAACAGGAAACCAGTGTACGTCACATCCAGTCTCCTTTCCCGTGAGAAACTCCAACAGTACAGACTGTGGAATGTAAACACCTGTCTCGTGACAAGCAGAGCTGCACAGTGAAGGAAAGCAGAAACCAACATCCTCCCCCTTTCTGTGAACATCACTGGGCAGCGTGTTTGCACAATATCAGTACAAACCCAACTTCTGCACATAGGTACAGTGTTGATCCTTTGATACAATCTTGGACAATACATCAGCAGGAATTTCATTACCTGGCATATAGGACACCGTTACGAGTCTCTTCTGAATACATTCCCTAGCATGCTGCAACTTTAATTGCAAGTGCTTTGTGCTTTGCTTACAACCTTCAGACTTCAGCAAAGCCAAACATGCTTTGTTGTCCTGGTAAACCTGGATTGGACATTTGACAGGAATTTTCATATCTTTGCACAATTGTACTAACCATTCACAATCCTTAAGTGAATAAGACAGTGCATTCAGTTCGGCTTCACAAGTACTTAAGCTAACTGTTGTTTGCTTTTTGCATGACCAATCAAACAGACTCTGATTGTACATGTAGCAAACTCCAGACGTACTTTTCCTGTCTGTAGCGTCACTTCCAAAACTTGCATCTGCAAATATCTCAAGACCACCAGACTTCTGATTGTTAAATCTCAGTCTGTAATGCATAGTGCCTTTCAAATACCGCGCTATGCGTTTCAGAGCTTTCCAATCCTTGACACTAGGATTGTTGACTTGTCTGCTTAGCAAATTACAGCTAACAGCAATGTCTGGTCTTGAACATCTGGCAATGAAGTTTAGCTTGCCTAGCACACTCCTGTACAGTGTAGTGTCAGAAAATGCTTCTTCAGTGTCATCTACCTGATAACCTGTTGTCATCGGTGTGTCTACAGGGTTAGCATCCATCAGATTTAGTTTGCTTAACACATCAGCAATTTTCCGTGACTGGTGTACTAGAATGTTACCATCTTGATCTCTCTCTATTTCCAGAGATAGGTAGTTGTTTACCTCACCAAGATCTTTCATGTCAAAGTGCTCTTTCAGTTGAGCTAGGGCGCTATTGTACATTGCAACATCTTTCCAAAAGAATAATAAATCATCAACATAAAACAAACAGTACAGTTTCTTTTGCCCCTCCTCTTTGACAAATACACATGGATCAGCTTTCCCTTGCTGAAAACCTAGAGAAAACAATACTTCAGTGAGTTTTGTGTGCCAACACCGTGCACTTTGTTTGAGACCATAAAGGGATTTCTTCAGAGCACAAACAAATCCCTGTTTTACCTGTACGCCATCAGGTGGAAGCATATAAAGTGATTCATCTAGAGATCCGTACAGAAAAGCTGTATTAATATCATGGTGACTAATGTGTAGATTTTCCTCTGCAGCTAGCTTGAGCATAAGCCTAATGCTTTCATATCTCACTGTGGGTGAATAGGTCTCGTGATAGTCTTCACCTGGTACCTGTGCAAAACCTCTGGCTACCAATCTGGCTTTGTGTCTGACTATCTTGCCATTTTGATCTGTCTTCGCTTTGAAGACCCATTTGCTTCCAAGCAGTTTCATTCCTGGAACTACTGGAACTAGCTCCCATGTTTTGTTCCTTTCTAAGGAATCAAGCTCAGCCTTCATGGCATTTAACCATGGCTCAGCTTCCTTTGAATCCAAACCCTGGATTTCTTGGAAACTTGAAGGTTCAAATACCTTCTTGGAGCTTTTAACAGCTGTTACTGCTATCTTAGCAAACTCATCAGCAAATCTCTTTGGAGGTTTGCCTTTTGTGGCTCTCTGTGACCTACGAATTAGCCTTAAGTCTTCAACACTCTCCTCTTCCTTCTTAGGAGAAAAACGACCTATTGTGAACAATGGTTCCTCCAATTCTTGATCAGAGCTTTCAGAGGGTCGCATAGAGGCTTTCGCACTCTCGAAATCCTCTGAATCACCCGATTCAGTTTCAGATTCAGACTCAGAACCTTCATCAGTGGGTGTGGGCTGTTGTGGTTGCTTTTGACTATCCTCAGTCTCATCACCGTCATCAGGATAACATTGGAAAATTCCCACATTCTCCCCCACTTTGCATTGTACTCAACACTTCTCGTGAGCTTAATTGTCTTAGAGTCAGTCATCATTATTCTGTAAGACCCTTTCTGATAACCTAGAAAGATACCATGCAATCCACGCTTGTCTAACTTGGAGTTTTGTGGTGAGCGAACCCACATGTCAGAACCAAAAATCTTCATGTGTTTGATGTATGGCTTCTTGCCAAACATCTTCTCATAGAGGTACAACCAATCGCTGAAGATAACCTGCGATTGTAACTGTAAACAAAACACGAGAGAGATTCGGCCCAATAACTCTCTGGAAGATTGGCATCATGCAGCAAGGTTTTTAATCCTTGAAGCAATGTCTGATTTGCCCGTTCCGCAAGTCCATTCTGCCATGGCGAGCGAGGACTAGACAAATCGTGTTGAATTCCTTTCTCAGTCAGAAAAGCTTCAAACTGCTGAGAAGTGAATTCCCCCCCGCGATCACTGAAAAGAGTCTTTATCTTCTTACCATGCACATTTTCCAACCAAGCACAGAATTCCTTGAACCTAGGAAAAGCCTCCGATTTCTGCTTGAGATTGTACACAAAAATATATCTAGAAAATGCATCAATGAGAACCATGAAGTATCTATTTCCACCCAAAGAGGGCGCTAGTGGTCCAACCAAATCAGCATGAACAACCTGGTATGGTTCTGTAGCTTTCCTACTAGACACCTTACCTTTGCAGCCATTTTCACCTTGTTTGCTGCGCATGCTTTGCACTTCATGTGGTACCTGCAGGGTTTAATAGTCATACCTTCAACCAAGGCAGGCATTTTAGATACTGCCTCAAAATGCAAATGACCAAATTTTCGATGAAAATCGTGAATACATTCTGCATGCAAACTTTTGTTAGAACCTGCAATGCAACAAGTGTCATCCTGCACCACATCATCATAATACAAAACAAACAAACGATCAACATATTCTGCATGCAATACATAATCATTTTTCTTTGTGATGATGCACTTCTTGTTCTTGAAGGAAACGTCAATGTTCCGCTCATTCAGCTGTCCAACGCTGAGCAGATTATGTTTGGCGTCTGGCACGTAAAGCACATTCTGTATCGATAAGTCCAAACTGTGAAGAACAACAGTTCCGTAGCCTTTACTGGGAATAGTGTGGTCATCCGCCTGGTGAATCGCACCTTCCTGCGGTGTAAAAGACACAAACAGTCTCTTATCGTTGCACATGTGGTGGGTGGCCGCTGAATCAACAACGAAGAAAGATCTAGACGTCTTCTGGACCTCTGCAACCTTTGGAGTGAAGCGTGAAACCATAGCCTTGTGCTGCGTTGTCCCTAGACACCGGACCTTTGCCTTTGCCTCGGCCTTTTCCGCGCGATGAGCTTTCGCTGCGCTGCTCTGCCTTGGCCCTGGGATGTCTGCATTCCCTCTTCATATGGCCTAGACGTCCACACGAGTAGCATTTCACTGCCTTCAAAGCTTTGGCGCCATCTGGTGGTTCCACTGCACTATGGGATGACGTCTGTGAAGACTCCCCTTGCCCATGCAGCTAGCACCCCGGCGATCTGCTTCATTTAAAATCACGGCAGTAACAAAGTCCACTGTCAGCTGAGCAGTTGGTTGCACAGCAATCTGGGTTGCAACAGACTCCCAACCTGAACCCAAAGATTGTAGTATCATGAAAGAATACACAGCCTCTGGAAAGTTGAGTCCTCTCTGTTGCAGCTCATGTCTCAGATTTTGCATCTCCATCAGATGTAAACGCACATCTCCACCTTCAGCAAGAGCCATATTGTGCAGCTTGTTAAAGTAAAACATAGTGGATCCAGCTTCTGTCCTTAAGTGAGCCTCTCTCAAAGCGTCCCAAATTTCTCTGGCTGAGGTCTTATCACGCAATAGACAGAGCTCTTCTGGGGATACTATCAATGTAAGAGTTCCCCTTGCTTTGGAATCCTTAGCTTCCCATGCATCTGTAACTGGAACTGGGGGGGTTCCTGTAATCACCTCAAACAAACCCTCTTTCCGCAGAATTGCCTCTGCATACAGAACCCAGTCGGCATAATTTTTCTTTTTGAGCTTAGGAATCCCACAAGCATCCTGAAGGGCCATCATGACTCTGGCATTAGCCTTCAGCGTCATATGCTGCTTTAAATCTTGCTGCGTCACTGCTGCAGCTGCCTTATTACAAAGGCACACTTAAAAGTTACTTTCGATTTCCCCAGCATAGTGACTTGTGCCTGGGAGCCTTTTGCCTATTCCCGGCAAAACCGGCTTTAAAAGTTCAAAGTCCAGCCATAAAGCCATTAACTTGAAGCTGGCAGGCTGCCCGGAGCAGTAGCACATACCTCATCAATCACTTCTACGCGCAGAGCAGATTCCGTTCCGATCTGTCCCTCTGCATTCCGATCCTTTGCCGGCACTCCGATTCGACTTCTGGGCCCATAACCACGTGTTGATTTAAGCAGAGTCTCGTGGCCAGCGGAAGGATGAGGCGTACGTGCTACATACTCTATATTGCTTTATTTACAGTTCAAAGCTGGTATATTACAGAAAGACATCTTGCCTCTGCCGGAGCAGAAAATGCATCCTCTCTCCTCGACAGCTCGGAGAGAATCACACAGTGAAAAACAGGAAACCAGTGTACGTCACATCCAGTCTCCCTTTCCCGTGAGAAACTCCAACAGTACAGACTGTGGAATGTAAACACCTGTCTCGTGACAAGCAGAGCTGCACAGTGAAGGAAAGCAGAAACCAACTGTTTACCTTCCCGCCACAGTGGTAACTATTTATCTACTTGGACTGGCGTGCTTTCAAACTGCTAGGTTGGCAGGAGCTGGGACAGAGCAACGGGAGCTCACCCCGTCATGCGGATTTCAACCGCCAACCTTCCAATTGGCAAGTCCAAGAGGCTTAGTGGTTTAGACCACAGTGCCACCCGCGTCCCATTCTTTTTACCTGGAAAGTACACGTCCCATGGCCTACAGCTTCATGGGTTACAACTGAGCGCACTCCTTACAGCATCCCAGGTACTAATGGATCTACTTTTAGGGAGAGGCATACCTAGGCTCCCTTGTGCCTCTGAAGTCAGGAGAGACCATGGACCAGAAACTCAAAAAGTTCGCTTTTTGTCGCTTTCTGCATTCGCCAGTGACTTTCCCCCCGTGACCATCAGGGTCAGGTCTGGTCTGTTCTGCCTCCCCTCCTCCACCTTGGTCCAGTCTGCCTTCTTCCCTCCTCCCTCAGTTTGCTGCTTTCCCTTCTGCCTCCCCCATTCCAGTGTGGTGTAGTGGTTAAGAGCGGTAGACTTGTAATCTGGTGATCCGGGTTCGCTTCCCCGTTCCTCCACATGCAGCTGCTGGGTGACCTTGGGCTAGTCACACTTCTCTGAAGTTTCTCAGCCCCACTCACCTCATAGAGTGTTTGTTGTGGGGGAGGAAGGGAAAGGAGAATGTTAGCCGCTTTGAGACTCCTTCGGGTAGTAATAAAGCAGGATATCATATCCAAACTCTTCTTCTTCTTCCATTCCCTCCTCCAACTCCTCACCCACTCTCATTCTTTCTTCCCCCCAAACTCCACTGGGCGCTCCACTCACACATCTAACAGTGCCACTGGGAAAAGGCGCAGCTGCCGTGGCCCCTGTCAGCAACCATATTTCTCTGCCAAGGAGCCCAGAACAGCCTGCACACCTTGCCCGGCCACCCGGAGCGGTGGAAAAGCTGCTGGGAGAGTTCATAGCAGGCGGGCTCCTAGTCACTCTGACCAAGAGTGAAGAGACACACTTTTTGCACCCCTTTGGGTCTGTGCCCTTGGTGGGCCAACTTGACCAGTCCGTAGGTACACCCCTGCTTTTAAGCCTCTTCTCTTTACCTGGGCTTTTGGCCCTTAATTTGAAAGGATTGGAATTGTGGCTTCTTTTAGTGGGTAGGATAACTAAGCCCTGCCTTTTATCTGTATAGCTGGGTCTGTCTTTTTTTTTTTTTTAAATTTGGCTGCTCTTAATTGTCTTTAATGGTTTTTTTAAAAAATAATCTTGATTCCCACATTAAAAATTTACACATAATCAAACACATTGTTCTGTTATGAAAGAAAAAGAATTTACACAAAAAGAAAATAGAAAAACAAGGAAAAAGGTGGGGAGAAATAGGAAGAAAGTTTAACGAAGTTAAATTGTCTTTAGTGTTAAGTTGCTTCCGGTCCCTTGGTGAGAAAAGCAACAGCAGCAGCAACAACAATTTGCACGGTGTTTGAGATTGCCATAGTATACTTAAGGCACTATGGAAAACTTTTATTTCCCAGGGATCTTCGCTGATGCTCTGAAACGGCCTGTATGCTAAGCTGGATGGAAATGACACTCAATCGATATAACACAGCTGAGCTGGAGAAGTTCACAGCCCATGCCAGGTAAATAAGGAACTTGAATGACATCACTCATTTCAAAGTTCTGTATGCTTGGCTGACTATAAACCCGGCGCTGACAGCTTGCCATGCTTAATTCAGATGATATCTTTGCCACAGGCCCACAAGGATCCAGGAACAACATTGTCCCAGACAGAAAATAAGCATCGACCCTCAAGAGCCATCAGAAATGCCGTGATTAGTGTCTGACTTGGGGGCCCCACTCCAAACATGGAATTCTCGACGCAAAAAAACCACACACACAAATTAAGTATTTTTTCTTTCTTTCTTAAATGTCCATGTTCACATTACATGGCATTTGGAAAGATCAGAATAGCCTGATCGTAATTGAACTGGCACTGCCTAGTAGGAAGTAGAGAGAGAGAGAGTATGTATTTGTGTTCAGGGTACAAAAAGGACCCTATTTATTTCTTCTCTTGGTTCGTAAGCTGATTAAATATCCCCCCCCCCAGCCAATGTGAGGTTTAAAAAAATTAAGGGTAGGGAGCCCTGCATCTCATCACATAGTCTAAACAAGCTCAGAAGCTGCTTGTAATTAAAAAACAACAACAAAAACCCACAGATATGAAAGCCAGGTCCCCCCAATTTCATTCTCCCTAGAGATCAATTATGCCAGTCTGCTGAGGATTCCACCTCTAATTTGGTATCAATTTGTGTGTGTTTGCAACTAACATGGAAAGATTCCTGATTTTCCACCAAAACTCCATCCTTGACTTTTCAGGGTTTCCTTTTCTCATTTAGATCTAAAGCACAAAGTTTTAAAAGCAAACTATTTCACACGGTTTTTGTGTTTTGTTTTGGTACAGAATGAGATTGCCATATTTTCCTCTTGGCCAGTGCTGGTGTCCATCTCCTGCCTAAGCCTGTTGTATCAAGCTACTAAGATGTTCCGAATCCGTTCTGAGGGAATAGGGGCAGTGGGAAAAGGTCACATTCAGCAGCCCTGAGTTACTGTGGCAGGGAGTTCCATGCATGCTGAAATCTAAAGGTCAAATTAGCAGTAATGTTTATACAAGGTGAGGCTGAGGAAACCATTTTCTTATAGGTCGTGGAATCTGATTCCCGACACTCACAAATAAATCCTTGTACAGTGGTACCTCGGATTACAGATGTTTCAGGTTACAGACATTTCAGGTTACAGACTCTGCTAACCCAGAAATAGTACCTTGGGTTAAGAACTTTGCTTCAGGATGAGAACAGAAATCGCGTGGCGGCAGTGGGAAGCCCCATTAGCTAAAGTGGTACCTCAGGTTAAGAACAGTTTCGGGTTAAGAATGAATTAAGTTCTTAACCCGAGGTACTGCTGTATTCAGAAATCTAGCATGTCAACCTTTTCCCTGAAACACTATTTTCTACGTGTGAGGATTTTTTTACTCCCTTTTTTGTATGAAGGAGCACTTTTGTGTTTTGTGAGCCCCCACCTGCAGTCTGTTCTGAAGCAGCTCAGACATGTTCTATCATCACACTGTAGAATTGGGTTGTAAATACCAAACTAAGTCAGAAGTGCACTATAATGATAATGCAAGCAATCCATTTCCATAAGGCTGTTTCCTAATTCCTTTAAGCTTTTCCCCAAAAATCCTTGCAGATGTCTGCTGAGGTTGTTACTGTCACCATAGTGAAAGTACAAAGTTGTCTTGGATTGGGTTTTCCCACACTTGGATCTCCAGCTGTTTTTGAACTACAGTTCCCATCATCCCTGACCACTGGTCTTGCTAGCTAGGGATGATGGGAGTTGGAGTCCAAAAACAGCAATACATGTGCTCTACCTCTGAGCTAGGCTAGACACCCCACTTCCCAAAATTAATGTCTAACCAAATGGCCCCTTCCCCATTGTGAGGTTAGGCTCTGATCCTGATCCGGAAGCTCACAATTCATACTCTCCCAGCTTCATCACTAAAAACATGTTGAAACTCAACTCACCTTTTATCTGCTAAGCCTGACGATTGGTTCATCTCGCTATTTGCAATAAAGTTTCTTATTTCGGAGAAATACGAGTCTTCCTTCTCATCTAAAAGTGCATGGTTGTCTGATTCTGAGGTCGGCGAGGAGGCGTTGGTCCCCAGGTGGTTTGTGATGACGCCCGTGTGCTGGCTCACTGCGGTGCCGGAAGAGAACAGGCGCACATTAAATAGAGGACTCCTTCAAGCAGAAGAATGTCCTCTGTAAAGAAGGACACACAAGCAATCTAATGAATGAAAACAAGCCAAATTGACCTGGGAACAACACTTATCCAAAGATCGCCTCATTGGGTTCTCTGCCTCTGAAAAAGTGTTTAAAAAGCGGTCGGAGGTGGGAAAATCAAGGCTCGCCTTTCACTCGTACAATTCTGGGCCTGCACCATTCCCCATTACCTGGCACACTCTCGTGTTCGTGCTTTTTCAGGTGTCGGTCGAGATTGGTCTGCTGGCCGAAGCAACGATTACACAGGTGGCACTTGAATGGCTTCTCCTTGTTGTGGATGTTTCGGACGTGGCGCTGGAGGTTGGATGAAATGCTGAAGGACCGGTCGCAATATTTACATCTGGAGGGGGAAAGAAGAAAGACAGTGTGGGGGGAAACCCAGTAACACGGGAATAAAAGAAGTTGTCTGCAATGGTTGGTTCTCGGGGGGCAAAAGGAAGCTTGTGCAAACAGTTCATTAGCTGTGGTTCCTGCATTGCAGGGACTTGGATTGGATAACCCTTAAGGCATGGGTAGGCAAACTAAGGCCCGGGGGCTGGATCTGGCCCAATCACCTTCTAAATCCGGCCCGCGGACGGTCCAGGAATCAGCATGTTTTTACATGAGTAGAATGTGTCCTTTTATTTAAAATGCATCTCTGGGTTATTTGTGGGGCATAGGAATTCGTTCATCCCCCCGCCCCCCAAAAAAATAGTCCGGCCCCCCACAAGGTCTGAGGGACAGTGGACCTGCTGAAAAAGTTTGCTGACCCCTGCCTTAAGGGCTCCCTTTCAACTCTACAATTCTACGAGTTCCTGGGGTGGTGGTGCTTGAGAGGGCCTCAAATGTGGTGGCCCTCAGACTCTGGAACATCCTCCCCTCTGCAGTTCATCTGAACTCACTACTGCATACGTTTTGACATCAGTTGCGCCTTTTTGCCCAAGCTTTTGAAGGTGGACGGTATTACCCTAATTCTTTTTTTTTTTTTTTTTGCTACACAAAACCCTCCCTGGAATCTCATGCTGGGCAATGACTGCATACAACCAAATAAACACGCAATCACACTTGCTGCTAGGACCCCAGTAGGAAGCAATCTCCTTTCATTTGCTGACTGTTGCTTTTACGATTATTACGTGCTGTGATATTTGTTTGTGTTGGTTGTGGGGGGTGAGAGGGGGGAGGCCTTATTGATACTACAATTATTTTACTGTCAGCCACTTTGGATTGTGCGGAAGTATAAGTAGAGAAGCTTACAAAAATAGCTAAACAAATAAAAACAATGCCAAACCACACAATAAAAGGGAATGATAAACTACCAACTACCTAGGTTGGCACCTGAATAATTTACTATTGTAATAATTACAAGAAGTTCCTGCAACAAAATGGAGTGCTCCTGTACAAGGTTCCAACCAACCACGCCTTGTTTTTGGATACTCCATTCCACCATTTTCTCAGTTTTCTGGGGTTTCCTTTCCCTTCTAACACTTGGCCCTTATTGGGCTGTTTTGGGGTTTCCTCCCACTTTGGGTTTTTTCTTTTTCTCTCTAAAGAGTTTAGTGCCTCTGCAAACCTTGAGGTTTAGCTAAACAGGGACCCAAAATCTGATTGATTGTGATGATGGTGATGACCACCCCTTTCCTCCTAGGAGCTCATTGGTGTACATTGCTCTCCCCCTCCTCAAAACAACCCTACGAAGTAGATTAGGCTTAGAGTTGGGGAGCAGCCGAAGGTCACCCAGCAAGCTGCATGGTCGAGAAGGGATTTGAACATCACACTAGTGCTGGGAAGAATTGAGTTTGTTATGGCTACTGTAGCTGCTAATATTGGAGTTGAGGCGGTTAATGATGGCAGCTGCAATAAGCAGCGGTACCAACCTTGGCCCAGGAAGGTTTGTGAGGCTGAATTGAATTGAACTGAATTTTATTATTTCGGTCACAGACCAGTTCCAGCCCACATACAATATCAAGGAAGTCATAAAACAGGATAAGAATACATTTGAATTTGCAATTAGGTATAACAGGGACAATACAGATATAGCAACAGTTAAAAAATATATAAATTAAAAACTTAGTCACTAACATATAACCTAAAATTATCATTTAAAACCTTAATCATTACGATAGCACAGCTTGGTCCCTAAGTTTTATGGCAATCGCACAGAATTTGGCTACCCTTAACGTGATCTCAGGATCCTTGTCCTCTACCAGGGATTTTAGACAGGTTTGTAAAAAACTAATGTGCAAGATCTCCAGATTTCCTGAAGAGGGCAGCATTGGGGCACCCAAAAACGGAATTGGGATTTCAGTGCCTGTTGAAGTCAAGCTTTGTTCCCTCCTTGGAGGCGTCCCCCTCTCCGCCAACAGGACTGCTTATTAGATTTGCTAGCACTTGTATCCTTCAGCCTATTGATGCAGAGTACACAGAGTTTGTTTTCTTAAAAATAAACTTTCAAAGGAGGGGAGCAATTGTCACAATTCTACATTATGCAGACAGCACATACTTTCCAAATGCGCTACAGCTGGGACTGAGACTAAAAATATCTCCCCTATTATTTTTGGAAACAGCGGATATACATTTATGAAACACTCTCCTTTTTGTTTTGTTTTTTGGACCCCGCATTCAGCTTGTGATTTGCCGGCTTTGAAAAACGAGCTGGACTCAAGGTGTTACATGTCACAAAACACTGTCATTAAATTCTCCATTCTGAGGGGAAGGCAGGCTTGCTGAAAAGCAGAGTCATTTCAAATATTTCTGGAGGTGGTGTTGGCAACTTTTAGGGGCATAATAGGAAATTTCAGAACAAGTCAGATTCTGAAAACACAGCTTAACCCTGGCTTGGCCTCACTGAGCCATAGACTAAGTAAGCCACGGTTTCTGGGCTTTAGACATCATGGGAAACTGTGGTTTGTTTAAAAGTGGAAATGGAAACTTCTGAACATGACGCTTTGCAACCATGAGGTGCAGCAGGAGAACACGTGAACCTGAGGCACATAAAAGCTTGTTAACATAGTAAGAAATCGTGGTTTCCTATTACATCTGAACTAGGCTACAGTGGACAGGGACTCTCAAACCATGTGGTCTGCAACACAGGGAAAGCCGTTGCTATTGCCCTCCAACAGAAACACACAGGTGTGTATCCAGTCCTACTCAGAGTGAAATGGGTGGACGTGGCTAACTTAGGCCAATTAATTTCAGTTGGTCTACTTTGGAGTAAGACATAGGACTTGGCCATGCACATATATTGTTTCAAGTGTGTTTTAAGTGCATTATATAGATGTAACACTAGATGGCGACAGTAAGCTTACGGCAATTTCAATATATTTTTAAAAAGTGTTTTCACAGTGCTTTTAATATGTGTCTAGATTCCACCACAGTGGCTACAAACCACATGCCCTATACCCCAAAGCTTTTAGTCAACCAATTGTCCTGGTCCCATCCCTACTCTGCCATGAAGCTCAATGGGTGACCTTGAGCTAACCACTGCCTCTCATCCTAACCTGCCTCACAGGGTTGTTGTGGAGAGTAAATGAGGATGGGGAGAAGCATATCTGCCACCTTGAGCTCCTTGGGGGAAAAGCTGGGACATGAGGCCCTTAATCTCAGGGTTGTGGGTTCAAGCCCCACATTGGGCAAAAGAATGGGCTACTTGTGACCCTTATGGTCCCTTCCAACTCTAAAATTTTACAATTCTATGAAATATATTTCCACCATATCTGTTGCTGAGGTCTCTTTCCTTTCTGGGCTACCAAATTCCTGGAACTGTAAGGACTTTGGGGAACATTTGAGTCACACCTCTGTTCCTGACAACAGGAGTGAGGAGCCTTCTTCATTCCTGGGGTGAGTTTAAAACGGAACAGAAAATATGAAAAGATGTTCTAGCTTCTTTAAGAGACAAAAAAAGGTACGCAGGTCATGATCCAATGGTCCGTCACCTATATTATTTGCTGGCACCGTTTGCCATTTAAAGCGTATTTTCCTGTTCCTTTTGTTAAAAAATAATAATTGATGACTTCAAAGAGCCTTGTGCAAATTAAGAAAAAGCACCCATTGCCTATCTGTTCTGGAAGTCTTTGAAAAGTTACTCTGGAGAGCCCCTCGCTTGAGCTGTGAGTGATGGGCACAGAAGTTAGGATACAGAGTTTAGATAATTACCTTGCTTAAAAAAATCAAAACCAGAGGAAGATGTTAAGAAGGCTCTATCTCATGGCTGAGCATACGAGGAGTGAGGGAAAACAGTTATTGGGTTATTTGAGTTCTCAGAGGGGTCACTGTGCTGCTTTTAATCACTGACCTAGACAAAGAGAGGGGCTGGCTTTGCATTCAGAGAAGCAGGAGGCCTGAACTGAAACTTCACAATTTCATGAACAGTTTCGGAAATCTTTCCCATTCTCAAGTTCTTCCTGAACTGTTGGGGGTGAATTTCCAGTCCTCCCCTGGAGAGGATGTGGAGATAGGGTCTACCCCAGATTTGCCACCCATGAATTCAAGAGGCAACTGTGGACCCAGTTTCAACAGAGTTTGATATTATCTTAATCTTATTGAAGGAAGCAATGGGGCTTAGCCCCTACTTTTCCTCACCTAGACCAATAGACATAGGAAAATAGGAAGCTACTGTGTATCGGTCAATGTAGCTCAGGACTAACCACTCTGACTGGCAGTGGATTTCCACAGTTTCATATGGGAGCTGAATTCTACCTGGAGAACAGATGCTCTACCACTGAGCTATGGCTTCCTCCCCCCCCCCCACCAATGTATTAGCTGGGGTTGATGTTGAGTTGTAGACTCTGGAGAACACCAGCTTGCAGAATCCCGCTGTAGGGAATCTCCCTGTCTTTCTCTTTATTCACTTGCTTTAATTGGTTTTTTTCTCTCTCCAACTGATACAGAACATTGCATGGCCATTGAGCATGCTCACACACCAGTGACTTTTTGAGATTTGCTTCTTTTTCAGAGAGGGGATACTCCTGCAAACCTTGCCAGCAACATCTGGAGGGTCGTAGTTCCCCCCACCTTTGCCTATACACATTTACCAGGGAGTACACTGCAGTGAAGTCAAAGAATTGTAGAATTGTACGACTGGAAGGGACCCCAAGGGTTATCCAGTCCAACCCCCTGCAATGCAGGAATCTCAGCTAAAGCATCCATGACAGAAGGTTGTTGTTGTTGTTATTTATTACTCCCCAGCCACTCTGGGCGGCTTCCAACAGAATATTAAAAACACAATACAGCACCAAACATTAACAACTTCCCTAAACAGGGCTGCCTTCAGATGTCTTTTAAAAGTTTATTTATTTGTTGTTTATTCCTTTGACATCTGATAGGAGGGCATTTCACAGGGCGGGAGCCACTACCGAGAAGGCCCTCTGCCCGATTCCCTGTAACTTTGCTTCTCGCAGTGAGGGAACCGCCAGAAGGCCCTCGGTGCTGGACCTCAGTGTCCGGGTAGAACGATGGGGGTGGAGACACTCTTTTGGATATACTGGGCCGAGACGTTGTTGGGGTTTACATAAGAGTAGAATCATCAGAGTTGGAAGGGAACACAGGGTTCATCAACTCCCTGCAACTTAGGAGCCACAGCTGAAGAATCCATGGCAGTAGACATGACCAGGATTGCCCTGGGAATTGGGATTGGAGCAAAGTTCATCAACTCAGCTCTGCTTTGCTTGCCCTGAAGTTCACGCTCACTCACAGTCAGTTGCTTGATTAATCTCTTCAGATTAAATAGGCCAACAAAGGAACTACTTAAGCAGCTGAAGTGGGGGGAGGGAAACGGTCCAAATATATGAGCTAGAACCTAGCAATGGGCTTCTTCCTGCCCAGGCCAAGCCAGAACGCTTTCCAAGGAGCCATTTGTTTTGCTAAAATTAGAAGCCAACATTGCGAAAAGAAAAAAAACCCCAACAGTGGCCCTTGCTCTTTGCAAAACGCCACCTTCCCTCTCCGGAGTGCCATTACTATGCAGGATTGCCCAGAAGTCAAAGCTTGATTGCTAAAAAATAATAAAAATGCACAGACTTTCCCCAACCCCGTTTCTGGGAGAGGACCAGGCCAAATACAACTTTATTTTGCTAACTTATGCTAAGTATCAAAGTCTCCTTTTTTGGAAGAAAAATGGACTGAACAAACTGTGAATGATCTGATGTGTGCTTTGGGCTCCGGACAAGGGAACATGGCAGCATTCATCTCCTTCAAGCAGCCCAACAGCCCAACAGACAGATTGGAAGAGCGGGGAGCAGGGAAGCAACTGCAGAATGCGCATGGGGGCGAGGCAGTGGCCATGGAAGCAGGTCTTGACCAAAATGAAAAATAAAACAAAAAATCCTAGCGCAGAGCTGAAAGCTCCCATGAGGACAGGGGCAGGGCTTTGGGGTGAAAATTGGAGACCTCGCTCTGCTGATGGAGAAGGAGGCTCCCCCAAACGCAACAGGGCCAGCTGAAAACATTTTAAAGTAATTGACACATGCCAAGTATACTCTATCCCTGACCAAGGTCCCCAGGATTCTCAGAGAACCCAAGGTGTGCCTTAAAACCAGACACTCTTTTGTGAGTCCCATACTATGAGCATTGGGACGCGGGTGGCACTGTGGGTTAAACCACAGAGCCTAGGACTTGCCGATCAGAAGGTCGGCAGTTCAAATCCCCGCAACAGGGGGAGCTCCCATTGCTCGGTCCCTGCTCCTGCCAACCTAGCAGTTCGAAAGCACGTCAAAGTGCAAGTAGATAAATAGGTACCACTCTGGCGGGAAGGTAAACGGCATTTCCGTGCACTGCTCTGGTTTGCCAGAAGCGGCTTAGTCATGCTGGCCACATGACCCGGAAGCTGTACGCCGGCTCCCTCGGCCAATAAAATGAGATGAGTGCCGCAACCCCAGAGTCGGCCACGACTGGACCTAATGGTCAGGGGTCCCTTTACCTTTACTATGAGCATTTGGGCACTCTTTTCATCGCCAGATCCTTTGCTTCTAACACTGTTTCTAGTGTTACAAATCTTGGGTGCCACCTCCCCTCTGCCAAGCCCAGAGGGTCCCAGGCACTCACCCAGGGTCTATGTTCCTTTGGAGAATTGAGGCATGGCGGAGACTGCCGTAGCTTTAAGAAATATTGTTTATTCATCTATTTACACCTTCAGTCTGCATGGAAGGAGTCCGGCTCTTACAGCATGGTCCTTTCCAGAAGGGCTTGTTCCCTACAGCAGTGCAGCCCTGAAGTCCAAGGCATCTCTCCCAGACAGCCTTTAGCCTAGGCTTCCTCAGCCTCGGCCCTCCAGATGTTTTGAGACTACAGTTTCCATCATCCCTGACCGCTGGTCCTGCTAGCTATGGATCATGGGAGTTGTAGGCCCAAAACATCTGGAGGGCCGAGGTTGAGGAAGCCTGCTTTAGCCAACCTGCCCAAGGTGGATTACAGTCTTTCTTCTTCCTTCTTCTTCCTCAAACACCTTGCTAAAAACTCTCTTCTCCTGTCACCTCACACCCAGTTACCCTGATGGCAACCTTCCAGTCTCTGTCCACACCTCAGGAAAAGTGGGGAGGACAGTTCTCTTGCATTGCCAATGGCTCTCAACAGCCCTGTGTTGCTTCTTAATGATCCTAGCTTGGCCAGGTCATTTTGCATAGGCTAGTTTGGGAATTCTTCTGCAGCCTGTATTTCTCCCCAAATAATAAAAAACCTACCATTTATTAGGGACACAGATGGCGCTGTGGGTCAAACCACAGAGCCTAGGGCTTGCCAATCGAAAGGTCGGCAGTTCGAATCCCCGCAATGGGGTGAGCTCCTGTTGCTTGGTCCCTGCTCCTGCCAACCTAGCAGTTCAAAAGCACGTCAAAGTGCAAGTAGATAAATAGGCACTGCTCTGGCAGGAAGGTAAACGGCATTTCCGTGTGCTGCTCTGGTTCGCCAGAAGCAGCTTAGTCATGCTGGCCACATGACCCGGAAGCTGTACGCCGGCTCCCTTGGCCAATAAAGCGAGATGAGGGCCGCAACCCCAGAGTCGGCCACAACTGGACCTAATGGTCAGGGGTCCCTTTACCTTTACCATTTATTAATTTCCAGGGTCTCGCTCCCCCCAGTCCATAACACTGTAATAGAGTGGTCCTCCACAAGCTCTTTCCTTCTCCTCCACCACTTCTTTTATCCTTCCTTTGCTTCAGACCACCTCTTTCTTCCTGCTAAAGCTACTTTTATGCCCTTCTCTTTCACACACACCCTGCTGGCAAATCGTCTCAATAAATGGTTGAAATCCAACCTCCGCCTCTCCCCAAAATTGGACTGAAATTTCCCTTTACTCGGCGCCATTATGAAAAACTGCCATTATCCTAGTAAGTTTAACTCAAGAGTAAACCTATTGAAATTAATGGGCCTACATCAGTCATGCCCATTAATTTCAATGGATAAAACTCTTAGAAATTATCAGGTTTGTAGAGCTCCACCCCAGCAGATATTTTGCGGCTTATCTTCTACTCCACACCGAACTCTAAAAGGGCACTTGTGGTAGAGAGGCCCTGAACATGGAGGCTCCATTCTGAGGCATCACAGCTAATGCTTATCTGCTGAGAGTCTGCTAGGTTTGTCTACGCTGAGTCGCCATCCCATGATCCTGTGGCAATCAGTTCCACAGATAAATCAGGCTCCTTTATATTTGCCCCAAACCTTTCTTGCTGATAATTCTCTTCAGAAAAAAAGTCTATATTGACTGTTTTCCGCTGTTTGTCCTGAGGTTTAAAGCTACGTTCTCCCTTACCTGTAAGGTTGCTCTCCTGTGTGTGTCCGCAGATGTCTCGTCAGATTTGCTGAACGCGGGAATATTTTACCACAGTACCTAGGAGGCGAGAAGACAGTGAAGTTCATACCCTAGTCTTATGGCTATCACAGGAACAGATGCTCTACCACTGAACGACAGCCTTCCTCCATGGCCCTTTGCTATAGTGGTGTGATCCAGAGGTTACTAACCGGCATGAGGGGGTAGAGGGAATCTCAAGCAAAGAAATCAGAAAGAGGAAGAGGCTGTTTGTTTCATTTTCTTAGCTCAGGGGTCACCAACAGGGTGCCCATGTGTGCAATGGCATCCTTGAGGCTTCCTCCTGGTGCCCATGAAGCTTCTGAGCCCCCTGACACCACCGCACCGTGCCCCCTTGTCTACAAGTTGGTGAGGCAGCTTACCTTCTTCCCCCTCAACAAGTCCATAGAGCTGAAGGAGGAAGTTGGGAAAGTGATGCTCTTTCCCACTTCCTCTTTCAACTCTATGGGCTTTTCAAGGCTCATATCAATGCTAATGGATCGCTTGCAAAAGGGCAGTGTGTGGGGACACTCTTGCTACCTCTCCCTGGTGATCTGAAGGAGGAGAGAAGTGAACAGAGAGAGTTCTGTCCCAGATCTTGCATCCCACCTCAAGCCGAGCATTTTCTCTTCCTTGTTCTTTGCAGCAGCTGCTGGCGGCCCTTCGCTTCTTACCTGCAGGTATAGCGTTCTTTGCCCTTGCGCAAAATGGGGTCGGACAGCGTTGGGGGCGGCGACCGGAAGTTGAAGGGATGGTGCGGGAGGGGCTGCAAGGAAGCGCCGGCGTCTGCCTTCATGGCTGCAAAGCTCTCCAGTTTCTCCGTCATGGTTTCTATTGCTGACATCTGTTCAGAGAAGGGGGAAGGTTTGTCGCCCGTAGTGGCCATCACAATTTGTTTATAGATTTTGAACAAGCAGGGTGGTGGCAGGATTCTAGATTCTATCAACCAGGCACGCCTATAAGCATCTAACAGATCTATCTATCTATCTATCTATCTATCTATCTATCTATCTATCTATCATCTATCTATCTTCTATCATCTATCTATCTATCTATCTATCTATCTATCTATCTATCTATCTATCATCTATCTATCTATCTATCTATCTATCTATCTGAGGAGATTTCACCCCTCCCATATCCAAGAATCTGCTGATGTTTCTCTGCTGATTCTCCAGAGAGGAGGGGGCGGTTTCTGCTCTCTACTTATTCCACTCCAGCCTCACATCAAAGAGAGAGAGAGAGACTGAGTGTTAGAGAGAGATCGTGTGTATAGATAAGGTTGCTGCTAAGAGCAGCTGCAGACACTCAGTGCAGTTCAGCATTTTCGTTTAGACCTCATTTAGCTCCGTATTGTGTATTATAGTTGTAGATAGAATAAAAGAAGATATTCTACAGAGCTGCTCTCCGAGTCATTTATGCTCTGCTATACTCTGCTATACTCTGCTGTGCAACGACTGTCTTCTTGTTGGAGTGAATCCGGTGCTCACAACTCTAAGCTGTGAGTCCACAGCACTTTGACCTGTTCCTGTACAGAAGGTGGTCTCTGGAACTGCTACCCAGCTCACCCAGCCCAGTCGGGGCTGAAGTGTGTAAGTCCAGTTGGTAGCACTGGCTCAAGGGCGATGCTGACACTATCTATCTATCTATCTATCTATCTATCTATCTATCTATCATCTATCTATCAGACAGAGATAATTCTGAGTCGGGCCTAGCCACTCCACTTCCTTGATATTAATGAGATATTGCTCTGGAGTTCTTCTGCACATTATATGATGTAAGGTGCAAACATTTAGATCAGACCAGGCTGCAGGAGCCGGTCTGCTGCTTTATCATCACTTAGGGGTGGGTGAATGTTTCAGTTTGTCTCATTTTCCTATTACTACTACTACTATTATTAGTAGTATTTATTGAATTTATATACCGCCCTATACCTGAAAGTCTCAGGGCGGTTCATAGATAAGATCAAGATAAAAATCACAATATATATAATAAAAATAAAAGCAACAACCCAGTAACACCCCCTTCTACCTTTCAGCTTTCCACATTTCCACATTAGTGTGCGATGCTGCTGCTGATGATATCCTCATGAAAATTCACCAGCATTTTAGCCAAAAATATAATGTATTTTTATTATACTAGTTTTGCCAATGTACGCGTTTATGTGCACACTTTCTCCTAGTACATGCATTTTTAAAAACATGTTACTTGGCTGCAGAAGCTGCATTGCAAAATTCAGAGAGGTGTGTTTCAGTGCACATGCTTTCAGACCCTGCAATTTAGGTAAGTTGGCCTTTCAGTGAGAACCATCCTGTCCCCACTCCCAACTTGTTTTTCCTTCCAAATGTTCCTCCCATGTAGAAACCTGCAATAACTAGCACACTGGAGTCTGTGCTAAACATCTCTTCCTTATAGCTGGTTAACATTGTTCTGCAGGGGAAACAGCCCAATAAAGTAAAGCGAAATGGTTGCCCTGTAAGATAAATCTTTGCTGTGTTACGCCAAGAGCTAGGCGATTAAAAACTGTCTTAATGGTATCGTTATGCGGGAAGGAAAGAGCAACGGAGGCTGAGCAGGGTGAAAGGCTCAGAATTAAGAGTCCAGGGTTGTGGACGGGAGGTCACACTTTTGATGGTAGGAGGGATCTTTCAGTCACAAAACAAAGTGCTCTGTTGGGTACCTGGGAGAGCTGGCATTTGCCATGCTCCTGCTCTGTTGAAATGGGACTGGAGATAATGCCTAAGAATGCATACCACTTCTAATGACAGACGGATGTGCCAAATTCAGTTTCTCCGAAGTGTGAAGTCAGTGGCTTTACATTAAAATGTGGAACATGTACAGTCCCCCCCCCAATTCCCTCCTACCTCTCTCTTTCTCTCTCTCTCTCTGTGTGTGTGTGTGTGTGAAAGAGAGAGAGAGAGAGAGAGAGAGAGAGAGAGAGAGAGAGAGAATGACTAAGAAAATAGGAGAGAAGGGAAGGGGGGAGAGGCAGAGACAGAGACAGAGAGAATGAGTAAGAAAGAAAGGAAAGGAAGGGGAAGGGGAGAGAGAGAGAGAAGGAAAGAAAACAAGGGACAACATTAAGGAAGGAAGATAGATAGAGAGTGCTGTCCTGATCATTGAGGAATAAATTGCAGAAGGTTGACAACCAATCATAAACCTTAAAAAAGAAAATGAAAGGAGTCCCATAAAAGCCATTTTGTGTTATTTAATAGAACAGATCCTAGGCCTGTATGATAATAGCGCAAGGGAACAGAGGGCCAGCCCCCGCTGCCAGTCATGTAACAAAACCGAGCGGGTTGCAAAACACTTGGTGGATCTCGTCGAGGGTTCTTTTCACTCAGCCCTTTACCGGAGTACCTGGTGCCGGCTTTTGTCGCTCCCTGCTCTTTTGGCACTTAATCACAGAGGGTTTGCCAGTGTGAGATGTCGTGGGCTCGTTCGACAATTCTAAAGGCAGGCCCTGGCCTCTCCGTTTGGCAGCAGCATTTGCTATTTAAGGCAGGAGCAACCGGTTCGAAATGACAAATAGAGATGAGGAAGAAAAGAAAAGCAGGGAAGAGGAAGAAGGAAAGACAGTCATCGGGGCGGGGGCGGGGGGGGGGGGGGCTTGCCAATAAGCAATCAGAAAGGCTTGCCAATGATTTGTGCAGGCAGAGGTTCATTCAAAACAGATCATGCTGGAGTCGTACAAAAATCAGTGAAGGGGGGAAAGCCTTCTTTTGTTTATATCCCTTCCTGCTCCTTACAAAACAAAAGAGAGATACATGACATGTTTTCAGAAATTCCAGCATGGGAATCCAGCATATATTTATTTTTTTATGTTATTGTTTCCAAAGGCTAGTGGTCTCCGAAATGTCAGATTTTGTACAAATCAGCATTTCGGTTTCCAAAACCCCGCACGGCCCAGTAAAACTAAATGACAAAGCATTAGGAGTTGGGTATCAAAAAGAGCTGTCCATGGTTAGCTCACCTGTGGTCCTCCAGAGGTTGTTAGACTACAACTTCCATCGCCCCCGACATTTGGCCATGCTGGTGGGCGTGCTGATGGGAGGAGGAGTCCAACAACGTCTGCAAAGCAGCCCCATGTTGACTATCCCAACCTTATGCTGATATTTTGCTGTTGTCAAATAGCACTTGCAAGGAAATGCCACAGTATGGAGTTCCAGGGTTTCAGACAGATTGACATGTCCCCTTCTGGGAATGTTCCAGGAGTGGGGAACCTTGGTCCCAGGGGGAAAATGTGGCCTTCCAAACCTCTCTGTGTGGCCCCTGCACCTCTCCTCAGGCCACACCCCTTACTGGCCCTGATTCATACTCTCCTCAAGTGCTTTTGCCTAGCTGGAAGATGTCCAGCTCAGGCTGAAATGGTCCCTACCCCTTGAACTATGGACATGCTGTACAATTTAAGCAATTACAGCCAGGAAATGGTGTCAGGAACAGCTGGGTCTGTATGCAGCTCCCCTATGTAGTAAACCTTTGAGATGCGTATAGAAGCTACCAAGTGAAATAGCTTCCGCCATTGACTGTGCTCACTGAAGGTGACTATTGGATCTTCCTGGACAGGAAGTAGTTTAAGAGGACTTCCTGTTCTAGTTGATCCTTGATGGAACAACAGTCTTCCTGAACTCTGCCGTGTCCCTGTGTCTGGTTATGCTTTAGTCTTGACTTTTGGTTTGCTCTTTGATCTTACCTCCTTGGTGTGTTTTTTTACTTGCTTTCTGGTCCTGACAACTAGCTGCTCTCCTGGCTCCCAGCTCCCCCTAGTCTGCTTCTCACAGTTAGGGATGGGCAAGTCTGTCCATTTTTGTTTCTCTCAATTTCTAATTTGTTCCAACTTCAGTACTCCACATTTCCACACCAGTTTGTGAGATTATTATTATTATTATTATTATTATTATTATTATGCCTTTGTGAAAATTCACCAGCAAATTTATTGCAATGTACGCATGTTTATGTGCAATTTTGAACATTTTTGCAAAGCAATTTCCCCTAATACAAGGCACTCTTAATGTTATAATCACAGATATCTGCCTCTTTATGGACACTTTGTCCCAGTATATGACTCACTTGGCTCGGGAACTACACTGCAAAATTCGGAGGAGTGCCAATTTCAATGAATGGCTTTGTTTCATTTCACGTATTATTTCAGAAAGTGTGAATTAGGTGGGTTCACCTTTATATGCAAGCTAAATCAAGTTTCTTCCCCATCCAGACACACAACCTAGTCCTATCATTCAAGAGGTTCACAGCACCACTCAGTCAAGAAGCTTGTTGGATGACCATCAGAGACACACTATATTTTAGCTTACCCTACTTCACAGGGCTGTTGTGAGAATCGAATGGGTGGGTGAGTGTGAATGGGGGATTCATACATGCTGCCCTGGGTTATTTGGAGGAAAGGTATTTTGAAAAAAAAAAAGGAACTTGTTGATAATGGTGATGGTGAGAACGACTACCATCATTGTATATATTCTGTTGACAGATACTAACTTGACAGACAACCAATGTGACAGATGTTTTCCACGGTCCAAATTTTATGAGATTGACTTTTAGACCCTTCTGCGCCCCCAGCACACAGTCTTTCTCGGAGCGCATAGCTTTCTCACCAGACTTTCTGGGACAGCTATCAGATCATTTCTCTCCTGCTATTCTAACCCACACAAACACAGGATGTCCCTGGCCAGCCTGTCACCATTGTAGGACCTCCTCAAATGGAAAATCGGGGGAAGTTATTAACCAAACTCTCAGGCTGAGACAAAACAATGAAGGAACTAAGTTTAGCTGTGAAAGCAAAACCATATCGGGCGGGAAAAGCTCCAGCCGCAAAACAATGGTTGTTGAGTACCCTGTAAATGAAACCACAGGGTAGACTCTTACTGTTTCCAACACAAGGGAAATTGGGATGTGACACTGATGGCTTGTGCTGTATCGCTAGCCCCTCTGCTTAAGGGATAGCAAATGTGCTTAAAGCTGAGAGTGAAGTAAGGGGCCCCTAATATGGTGGGACCCCTGTGCAGGGGCCTTATAGATCTTTTAGCAAAGTCGTGGAAACACACAAGACCCTGCAGAATCACAAGACCCTGCCACTCTGCTCTTGATAGCACTAGGCCAATGGTCTCATTCAATGAAACGTCATTTTTGTGTGTTCAGTTATGAGGGCCCTTAGAATAATAGAATCATAGAATTGTAGAATTGGAAGGCACCATGAGGGTCATCAAGTCCAACCCCCTGCAGTGAAGGAGTTTTTTTGCCGATCGTTGGGCTCGAACCCACAACCTTGAGATCAAGAGTCTCATGAGAACTTGCAAAGTATCTCAGAGCTTTGGGTGCTCTGAAAAGGCCTGGTGTTCAAATAAGGCTAATAACAATAACAATAATGTTGTTGCTGTCAGGCTAGAAACAAGTGCCTGGCTGGGGTAGAACATTTATCTCTGGTGTGCTAGGTTTGTACCTGTGGGGGGGGGGGACACACACACCAATAAAATTTATTTAAAAAATAAAATTTATTCTATCTCCACAAATGAACTTTTTGTGTGTGTTTTTTGCAATGCCTTTTTGGGGCTGATTTTCTGAGTTGGAAACTACTGCAAAATCCAGGGAATTGCAAAATAATGAGCTGTAGTCTCTGCCAGTCCTACTAAGAGTAGAAGTTAAGGAACATGATTAACTTAGGCCCAGTCATTTCAATGGGTCTACTCAAAGTAGGTCATAGCTGGATACAGTCCGCTGCTCTGATCCACACATCTGTCCGGGAAGTTCCAGACAAAGTCGGTTCTCATCAAACTGCACCTAAGTCAAATTCAACTTTTCTCTTTTTTTGGTCTTACCTGGGGATGAAAAAGCAGTGGGGATGGTCTCAGATACTTCTCCTTCAATGCGCCCACTGAATCTACCACCTTCCGCTTCTCCACCCTGCTGGACAGCAATACAGAGGGTTACATACCTCACAGGGCCTCCAGGGAAAACCAGAAGAATCATAGAATTGTAGAGTTGGAAGAGACCATGAGGGCCATGTAGTCCAACCCTCTGCCATGCAGGAATCTTTTGCCCAACATGAGACATGAACCCACGAACCTGGGATTAAGAGTCCCATGCTCTACCAACTGAACTAAGAATGTATGTATATATAATCTACCCTTCCTGGTTTCTGCCAAGGGATGCCTTACTGTTGTGCCAGGAAGATAACAATGGGCTGAAACAAACATTAGCCCCACTCAGAGCAGGCCCATTCATGGTTTAAGAGCATGAGTGAAGGACCTCCAACCCAGGGGCCAAATGTGGCCCCCCAGGGCTATCTATCTGGCCCTCACAGCTTTCCCAAAGCCATACCTCTCACTGGTCCTGCCTTAGTGTTTCCACCTTGCTGAAATGTGTCCTTGAGCAGCAATAATATGTTACGGGTCCAACTTGCATTTCTCTATTTTCTGAGCTTGCCAGACTGCTAACTCATGGCATCCTCAGTTGGATTTACAACCTTTGACTTGTTTCTAACTTTGAAATCTCTCCCCCCCCCCAAAAAAGAACCCGCTACTAATCCTTCACATCTCCCAGGAACTCACTGAGCATGTCCCTCCCCCTCCCCTGATCCATCTCATTCATCTGTCTTCTGCTCCTGTGCCGTTTCCTGCCTTTCTGTTTTGACTGGCAAAGCTTCCTCCAACCTCTGTTATTTTGGCACGTTTTCCAGCCCTTACGCAGAGGTGCTGGAATCCCACTGGAATAACTTCCATCTCTACTGTTACCGTCGCTATTTCCCAAGGAACAAAGCCGAAAATGGTCAGGGCCATTTTTCATACCTGGAATGGCATTCCTAGATGAGCATGATTGGGAGAGGCAACATAAAGCTTTGAGCAAAGTCCTTAGGATCTCAAGAGTGAGAACAAGGAAGCCCTCCTCATGGAGTACCAATCTGAAAAGGGATCTTGAGAAAACTCAAGTTCCTCTTCCTTACCCCCCCCCCCTCCTGGTTTCTCAACATGCCCAGCCAACATCACCTTGGCAGACAGTTCCTTGGCATCTTCCCATATTGACGTCATGGTTTCCCAAACTTCTCCACCGTGCATGATTTGCAGATCACGGTTTCTGGTTTCCTAATTTTGGACCCACTTGTCCTATACAAGCCTATATACTTAAACCCTACACAATTCCCTCAAACAATTGGATGGCATCTTGTACACCTCCTTCTGGCAACTCCTGCAGCCAAGCTGATGCCAAAGGTATTGCTCTGCTTTCCTTTGGACCACATCAGCGAGCTCAAGAGTGGGAGTTTGTCATCTGGGCAGCCCAGGACCTCCACACACACTGCCCAGGCTTGTGCCCCAGGGAGATCACTTTGGTGCTGCTAACACAGTGGTTTGACTTCACCCTTGGAGGAGCACAACCACTGTCTCTCAAGGCAGATGAATGCCAACAACAATACTTAAGAACAACAACAACAAAAAGGTAAGAAGAGCTTATCTGGCTAGTGCCCTTTACAGCTGTACCTTGATTTTTGAACAGTTTAGTTCATGAACAACTTGGAACTCGAACATTGCAAACCTGGAAATAGCTGTTCTGGTTTGCAAACTTTGCCTTGGAATCCGAACATCTGGTGCGGCTTCCACAGTTTCTGATTGACTGCAGGATGCTCCTGCAGCCAATAGGAAGCCACGCCTTGTTTTCCAAATGTTCTGGAAGTCAAACAGACTTCTGGAACGCATTCTGTTCAAAAACCAAGGTATGACTGTATCAGACCAAGAACAATCAGGAGTGCATGTGCTATATGTTTGATCAGAATAGATCCATTTAAATGGGTGGACCTAAGTTAGTCGTGCTCATTAATTTGCTACAAAAGAAGTTAAGGTAGCCTATGAGTTACATATACACCTATTGCACAGGCAAAAAAGCTTTAAGATGATAACTTGATGAAAACAATCTCTTAACCCAACAGTCAGCTTGTTTTCAAATGACTCTATCCATAGGAGTAAACTCCTAGGGTCTTCATGCCCCCCCATAAAATATTTGAGGGGGCCAGGCCCCCCCCAAAGTTAATGGGCATTGCTATTCAAATAGTTTGTGTGCACCGTGTCATGTCACCGATTATGCGGGGAGGGGCTTACTTGCCCCACTCTAAATATTTTATTTAAGTTGGCACCCCTGACTCTATCTTCTGGTGGTGGGGATGGCCATTGCTGGCAGAAGACTAAAATGTCTTCTTTTTTCAATTTGGAAAGAAATGTTTGCTGCAGCACATCATAAAAAAAGCAATTACACTTTTGGAGTCGTGCTCAAGTTGGTGTTCTGTTTTGTTTACCTGCCACGGAAGAAACCCTATTCATCAGAGCATGTCTGGCCACAGATATTGGCTTTGGAAAATATTTGCTTCATGCAACTGCACATTTTATTTCATTTTAATTGATCCATGTGTATTATGTTTGTCAATGTCACTGGATATGGAGGTGAATCTATTGGCCACTGAGCTGAGGAACTGAGTTGTTTTTAACTAAAGTTATCGCTTCAATGTTAAGGACCCAGCGCCGTTCATTTCAATGAATAAAATGGAAATTAATGGGCCTAGTTCAGTCATGTCCATTAATTAAAGTGGGTCTACTTTGCACAGACTTTCATTGGATACAATGTGATATACAACATAACCATGTTGCAGCCACAGCTAACAGTCAACTTTTGTCAGGATGCTGTCAGGGGCTCCTGACTGGTTGCTCAGGAAAGTATAAAGTTTCTTACCATCCTTTTTTATTTCAGTCTTTACAGAGAGAGGCTATAGAACACAGCCTCTTGGGTACCAAGTGAATCTCCACCCCCCATCTCTCCCACTTCCTCTTTTGTCATTCTCATCGTCTCCTCTATGGGTGCTGCTATGAGCCCTCTGTTTTTGAGCTCTTTGCTCTCCTACTTTCAAGGCTCGCCAGGTTCTGGGAGATGGAGGCTCTGGAATGCTTTCTAGTGACGTGTCAGCTGGGTGTTGTTCTAGCTCTCCCATGATTTTCCAACTTTCCCCCTCATCTGCCTCTGAGCTGTGACCTCCCTCAAACCCCTGTTGCAAATCTACTGTCTTCCTCTTCCTTCGGTTAGGTTGGGGAGGCGGTCTCCACCATTCCCCTTCTGCCCAGTCCCTGAGAACTTTGCTGGCAAGTAGACCAGACCCGAGTGATTGCTTCACACACCAGGGTTGGGGTAACTCAGTAGCGGTGGCAACCCCAACCACTGCTTGCCACCACCGTTGTCGCTGGGGCTCAGTTGGCCTCAGTTGCAAACGTGTGCGATTAAGGCAGGCTATGTTAATACCTGTATATGGGGTCCATGAAAAAAGGAGACGGCTTGGCGTAATGCAGTGATGGCTGTGGCGGCATCTGAGCCTGAGAGATCTTGGGTAATACTTCACTGGCCAACAACTTCCTTTCTCCGTACACGTGGTTCCTCCGGGAGTCCCGGCTCCCATTCTGACTGGCTCGGATGCGGTTGCCGATGCTGAGATCCAGCGGCTGCTCCTCCCCGGATGGGTGAGCGGGCGGGACTTTGGGGGGCGGCAAGGCTGGCTTGATTTCTTTTGGCTTTGTGGTAAGGTCGAAGGGCGACTCGGAGCTGGTGCTGCCCAGTTTGTGAAGGTCCCTGGGCGACTTTGGTTCTGCCTTGACCAGCAAGCTGTGGTTGAGGGTGCGGTCCGTAAAAGGGTACAGCGAATGGGGAAAGTTGGGGAGAAACTGGAACGGGAACATGGAATGGTACGGGAGGGAGCCCATCTTCTTCTCCTGCATCCCCATGAAGCCGGGCCCAAAATACTTCTCCGCGATGGAGGCGATGGCTTTGATGGAGTCGTTGGCTGCTCCCGCCATGGGGAGGAGCTGCTCTTCGGGGGGAGGGAAAAAGGAATGCTGCGAGTAGAAGAGGGGGAGGTCGCTCATGTTGTTGGCGGAACTGGTGGGCACCGCGCCACTGCCGAAATCCGGCTTGCTCTCGGACGGCTTGCTCTTCTCCTTCATTTTGTCCCGATCGCTCTCTGCGTCACTCTCCAGGTCAGACCCTGTCCCGGTGGTGGTATCCAGGTCCGTTCCTGTGGTGGTGTTGACGTCCTCGAAGTCGCTCGCGTCTGACATGTCGCTGGTCCTGGCCTTGAGCTTCTCCAGGTAGGAGTTCCCCAGGTTGCTGCTGTTGTAACGCTCCTCCCCGGAGGCGGGGTGGCCGCTGTTGCTCACGGCTGAGATCAGAGGGAGGGCTGGGTTGCCCAGGGGGCTGGGAAGTTTGGCATCTTGAGTGTGGTTGAGGGGGCTTTTCAGCAGCGGCGTCGGAGGTAATAAAGGGGGCCTGGGGTACAGCGAAGGAGGGAAGATGCCCGGGAACCCAGGGGCGAGGGATGGGAACGCTGGGGGAGCGGGGGAGAAGGGGAGCCCTCCAGGGTGCTGCCGGGATGGGAAGTAATCGCTGAACCCCAGGCTGGCATGGTTAAGGGCAGGAGATGGCTTGGATTTGTCCATCATTGAGCTGGGAGTGAGAGGCAAGCCTGGCCCAAATATCCCCCCGGGGTTGTAATGGTTCTTCCCCTCGCAGAAGCGACGGTGCTTGTTGAGTGAGGAGGTGGTGCTGAACATCTGGCCGCAGTCCTTGCACTTGATCTGGGTCCGGCAGTCGGCATGCATGCGCTTGTGGCGGCACAGGTTGGAGAACTGCGTGTAGGACTTGTGGCAGACCTCACCTAAAGCATCAACAGAAACCAAAACACCAAAACCCAATATGAAATTAATATGAAAGAACTGGTTGGAAATCAGGTGGTGTTTCATAATAAAGTCATGAATAGGACTTAGTTGGGTGAGTGATTGAGTGATATTTGTAAAGAAAAAGATCAAAGGAACGTATACAAAGCAGAAAGAAATGATATTATACAATGTAAACCTGTGTAAAAAAGAATGTTATATCAAACAGTATAATGAGAAGGATGGGAAGGATTGTGCAGATGAGTACTTTTACTATGTAAATAACTTTGTCTCTTTTTAAAAAAATTGATTTCTTTGTTTCTTATCTTTGTTACTTCTTTATTTCTTTTTTTCTTTATAAATATTCTATTTTATATAATTATTTTTACCTGTTAAGAGATAGCACATAATGTTTGTATAGACATGCAAATCTTAATCAATAAATAATTGATAGTTTTTTTTTTTAAAAAAGGACTTAATTGGATGCAACCTGAAATGATTGTTTGTTGTTGTTTTTTACTGGTTTTGGGTGCCACCCTGTTGAAGCTGAGCAATGGGGGGGTGGGGAGGAGCAACATAATTTTACATATAAATTGCAAACATAACCCCTCAGCCCATGTAGCTCAGTGCTGTCTTGCCCTGCTGAGCCAGCAACTTCCCCAGTTCCCAGCAGCAAAGGATCTCGCAGCGAGCAAATTTGCAGAAATGCTGCATCCTAGAATTGTAGAGTTGGAAGGGACCCTAAGCGTCATCTAGTCCAACCTCCTGCAATGCAGCAATCTCAACGCGGGGTTCCCCATCCAATCTGAAACCACACCGGACCCTGCTTAGCTTTGCAAATGTGCTAGCAGTTTGATTGCTGCCCCTCATGTGAACCCGAAGTCGTACTTTGGCTTACCAAGCCTATTACCTCACTGGAAATATTGGCTGAGACAATTCCTTGTGTAGAAGATGACAATCACATCCACACCATATGCTTAAAACACATCCACTGCACATTTAAAAAGCATGGGGCTTGTCCCAGAGAACCCTGGGAGCTGCAATTTACCCATCACAGAGCTACAATGCCCAGCACAGTTAACAAACTACTCAGCCTTGTATACCTGAAGGAGGGTCTCCATCCCCATCGTCCAGCCTGGACACTGAGGTCCAGCTCTGAGGGCCTTCTGGCACAATAAAGTTAAGGGAACCAGGCAGAGCGCCTTCTCGGCCTTCCCTAAAGAATATAACACCGGTCCTAAAGGATCTTCACTGGCTCCCAGTATGTTTCCGAGCACAATTCAAAGTGTTGGTGCTAACCTTTAAAACCCTAAATGGCCTGGCCCAGTATACCTGAAGAAGTATCTCCACCCCCATCGCTCAGCCCAGACACTGAGGTTCTCCTCTGAGGGCCTTCTGGTAGTTCCCTCACTGTGAGAAGCAAAACTACAGGCAACCAGGCAGAAGGCCTTCTTGATAGCGGCACCGTCCCTGTGCAACACCTTCCCATCAGATGTCAAGGAGATGGAGAACTACACAACTTTTAGAAGTCATCTGAAGGCAGCCCTGTATAGGGAAGTTTTTAACTTTTAACGTTTTATTATGTTTTTATGTGTGTTGGAAGCTGCCCAGAGTTGGTTATTTCTGCCCAGGAAAGGGTGCAGGGATGAAGTGGGGAAGGGCTCATTGCACAGACACAGGAAGAGCCTCGTGGATCAGACCAAAAGGTCCCCATAGCCTGTGACATCTGCATTGCATGCAGAAGGTCCCAGGTTCAAAGACCGGCATCTCCAGGTAGGGTTGGGGGAGACTCCCCCTGAGTGAAAGCCTGGAGAGTCCCTGCCAGTCATTGGAGGCAATTCTGAGCTAGAGAGATCAATGGTCTGACTCTGTATAAGTCAGTTTCCTATGTTCCTAGGATTCGGGGGGGGGTGGCGTGTGGGTGTGGGTGGGTGTGCGCTTGCTGCAACGAAACGCGCACAGGCAAAATTGGCCCGACTGACTGCAGAGTTCAGCTTTTAACCTGTCAAAAACAAAAAAACCCTGCCTCAAATGTTTACTGAAAAAACAGGAGCCGTGCGTGAAGTGGGGGGTGGGAATTGCGGCAGAATTTAATCTGGTGCTCTGACCTATAAAATTACAGCGGCTGCTGCTGGCAGAGGCCGGAGGGGGTGGTGGTGGAGGCTGCAGCTCAGGATATGTGCAATTATAGTGGCTGGCCCGCTCTCGGAGGCAGCCATGACAACTTACATATGAAAGGTTTGACAGTGCTGTGAATGTGCTTGTGCTGCTTTAAGCCGGAAGAAGTGGCAAAGGTTTTCCCACAGTCAGGGCAAGCGTGCGCCCGTGCACCGACGTGCTGAGAACGGATGTGCCTCTGGAGGTTGCTGGGGTCAGTAAACACCTGGAAATAGGGAGTGCAGAAAGAGAGAGAGAGAACTTTTTTGAGGAACAAAGCCACATAAATTCATCTCACTGTGAAGTTCTGTTTACTGGCGACTTATTTATTTCATTTCATTTATATCCCACCTCCCCCCCCCACCAAGGGGCTTAGGGCAACATATGTGGTTCTGCCCCACCTCCTTTAATTCCCATCCCACAACAGCCCTGTGAGGTAGGGTTTATTTTTGAGATTAAAGTGTCTTTAAAGAACTGTTGCCAAGAGCAAGTCAGCAATAAATCATATGGAGTAAGTGAAGTTAACGCTTTATTGGAAGTATAAGGTCAGCTCAAGAGCACCAGGCCTAATGAGCACATCAACTCTTCTTAGTAGGTCTTGTGCCTAAGAGGCAGTTGTGGGGACTGAAGGTCCCCGCCTTCCCACAGCAAGTCTCCTCCTCTCCCAGGTCCTTCCCAAGCAATCTGAGACTGTGCCTGCATGTCTGTCTCTGTCCCTCCCTCTTCAAGCCTCTCCTAGTACTGCGACTCCATTGGTGAGGACTCCCTCCTGTTGTAGCAGGAGGGAGAGAAACCCTGGCTTCTTCACCAGCCTGACTCATCTCTGCCTCTTGGCCTCCCTCCTCTCTGCCTTCTGCACTTCTCTCTGCCACAGACTCTCCCAGCTCACTAAGCCGTTGCCTCCTTAGCTGCCAGCCCCTCCACTTACTCCCAGTCTTCTCCCTCTGACCACTCATCTTCATCCCACCACCTCTTTCAGGGCTTCTTCCCTTGGGAGTTCCCCAGTGTCTCCCACCATTCCTCTGTGTCCAGCCAATCCATGGCATTTGTTTTATTTCAAAATAGTCTTCCTCTGTCCCTTTATTTCCCCATCTTCAAAGGAAGGTAGGGTTGATCCTCTTGAGTGGTTGGGACCACAACCGGAGTCAATCAATGGCGCCCATCACAGCCATACCTTTACACAGTTTTCACATTCAAATCGCTTGCCGCTATCGTGCGACATCTGGTGACGAATCAGGTTTGATTTCCAGTTGAAGGCCTTCGGACACTGGTCACATTTGTACTCCCGTTCCTCAGTGTGGATGATCATGTGCTGTTCCAAGCTGAAAGAGAGAAATGGGCGGACATGTTGCACAGATACTACAGGTCTTCCCATCGCTACTAACTCTAGCAAGCCTAATTTTGAAAGAGGTCTAACAGGGTAAGAGGGCTACAGAGTAAACCTGGTGCCCCCCAGGTGTCCTGGACCAACTCCAACCAGCCCCAGCCAGGATGCTCAGCATCTCACCGGTTCCCAGGTGCATTACCTGTATTTGTTTGGGAACATCCTCTCACAATCCTTGCACTCGTGGACCTGCCCATCGGAAGCCCCTTCCTGCTTGATCTCCTCGCTGAGGGTCTCGTAGAGGGAGCTGACGGCATTGCAAGAGTATTTCTTGTGCCGCCTCATGTCCATCTTTGACTGGAAGAGTTCGTCGCAGTCCTCGCAGCGGTACGTGTGCACTTCTAAGGAAGGAAGGAAGAAAAAGAGTTTGGATTTGATATCCCGCTTTATCACTACCCGAAGGAGTCTCAAAGCAGCTAACATTCTCCTTTCCCTCACAATAAGCACTCTGTGAGGTGAGTGGGGCTGAGAGACTTCAAAGAAGTGTGACTAGCCCAAGGTTACCCGGTTCACCAGATTACAAGTCTACCGCTCTTAACCACTACACCACACTGGCTGGAGCAGAGAACAGGACAACATCAGAAGAGCGCTGCTGGATCAGGGCTGTTCAGCCCAGCATCTTGTTTTCCCAATGGCCAACCAGATGCTGAAGGAGACAGGGCTGGGGTCACCAACCTACATGGATTAAAACTCACAGAGCAGAGGGCTGGCTACTAGCTGTGATGACTATGCTCTGCCCCCACATTTGGAGACAGCAATGGTTCTGAACCCTGATTGCTGGAAACCACAGGAAGGGAGATCACTCTTGTGCTTGAATCCTGATTGCTGGCTTCCCAACAAGCATCTGGTTGGTCCCTGTGAGAATAGGATGCTGGACTAGATAGGACATTGGCCTGATCCAGCAAGTCTCTTCTTATGTAAAATGCTGATTAATTTTCATGAGGACTTCCCCACCTCCTGCATTGCCAACTGATGTGGAAATGTGGAGAACGGAACTTGAGGCTGGAAGAATGAGAACCCAAAAGGAACGGATTTGCCTTGAGGCCTCCCCAAGCCATCTGGTTGGTCTCTGGGGAAACAGGACGCTGGAGAAGAGGGGCCATTTGTCTAATCCAGCAGGCTCTTCTTATGGTTCTTCCTGTATCATAGAAGCGAGGAACCTTTTTATCTCATGCAAGTGGGACCAGAGCCAAAACGATATGCAAACAATATGCAATTGATTACACACACCCCTTTTTTATTTGTGTTGAAATGAATGGGGTGGAATGATGGAAAGACAATGCATCTTGCATTATTTACGCAATCAATTGCGTAATTTGTTCTGCAGATTATCCAGGCTGCACAATTCTGTCGCAATGGCCAGTGAGAGAAGTAACGACGGTCTTGGCAGAAGGCAAACTGCAGCAGGATGGAGACAGCGCTGCATGGGAATGCAGAATGGAAAACCTTCTTACCTCCCTAGCCCAGAGAGTTTAATCTGAAGGCAGACTTAAGGTGGGGGTGAGGCGGAGGGTGAACGAAAAAGCAGACATTGTCAGCAGCACTGACAAAATGTAGAGAGATGCTGAGCTAACCATTCACCAAGACCAAGATTAATTATGTCTTTCCAATGAGGAAAAAACAGCCTTTTAGGTTTTCCAGGGATTCAAATATACATGTAAAAGGGGAAAATAAAAAAATAAAACTCTGTCCTCTGTTTAAATATGAAGTCGATTGCTAACCAGCCGCCACATGAGCAACTGAAGCCAAAGGGAATTCCGAGGCACAGCTCTCTCCGCGCAGTCAAGGGGAAGAAGCCAAATTCTTTGTTTTAAAGAAAAGTGACGGGGGGAGGAGGGAGAGAGAGAAACCTTCTAACGCACATAATAAATTATTGTAGTCAAGGTCAAACAAATTAAAAGGAGGGCAGCTATTATTAAGTTTACAAGACAGCATCCTGACCAGAGTGCCAAACCAAACAATCGGCTTAGCGCTGTAAATTTTCCAGCAGAGCGGTTTCTGGGAGGAGAGTCGGGACAGAGCAGGATTTCTTCCTCCTCGCTTGAAACAGAAGCTTTGGTAAATTTCTTCTTCTTCTTTTTTCCTGCTTTTGCTTTACGGTTTCCCACCTTCCTCAGTACTGAAATCCTCCGTTTCAGAAGTTTGCTTTGTAATTAAAGCCTCTTGCTCACTCGCTTCCTCTAACAGTTTTACTGCTAATATAAAGCCTGTAACTGTCACTACTTTTTAAACTGTTCTTATTCATATTTACAGAACAAACCATAACATTCAATTTAAAAAGATGAGCAAATAAACAGAGGTGTTAATGAGAGAGAGAGAGGGTTGTATCCAACGCCAGTCCTTCACAGAGTAGACCACTGAAATGAATGGACCTAAGTTAGTCACATCTATTGCTCCCCATGGGTCCATGTTGCATAGGACTACATTGGATACAACCCTTATATAAAGCCACTTTTGCATTGCCCAAAAAGAGAGACAGGGATCTTGAAAACAGAAGGTGAAAGATGACAGTGATTTCAATAGGGCTGTATGCAGCTAGGTCCTGTGGGGAGTAGACGGATTGAAATTAATGACCTAAGTTAGTCATGTCCATCAATGTTAGGTAGGACCAGCCCTGGAAACAACCCATAATGTTCACATGTTCTAATTCTTGAAGGAGCGTCTCCACCCCCATCGTTTTGCCTAGACACTGAGGTCCAGCTCTGAGGGCCTTCTGGCGGTTCCCTCACTGTGAGAAGCCAAGTTACAGGGAACCAGGCAGAGGGCCTTCTCGGTAGTGGCACCCGCCCTGTGGAACACCCTGCCACCAGATGTCAAAGAGAAGAACAACTACCAGACTTTTAGAAGACATAAGAAGGCAGCCCTCTTTAAGGAAGCTTTTAATGTTTAACAGACCACTGTACTTTAATACTTTGTTGGAAGCTGCCCAGAGTGGCTGGGGAAACCCAGCCAGATGGGCAGGGTATAAATATTATTATTATTATTATTATTATTATTATTATTATTATTATTAACAAATGCAAACTTAGACAGATCTATAATCCTTTAAACAGGAATACAAGACATCTCACTCTAGTGGGGAAAACAGGGCTCAGTTGACTGGTGTGTCTGCTCAGTTTGTGTTCCAGGTCTTACAAGGGTCTAGGTCTTAAAGGGTTGATGGGCAGGTTCAATGCTGCACTCTCTTTTTATAGTTCCTTATCTTGACACTGGACTGAGAAGACCATTCTCTCTAAACTGGGGCATGTGGTCCCCCTATTAGAGAGGCTGGTTGCTGGGAAGTGGGGTCAGAGGATGGGGGGCATCTCCCTGTTGTGCTTTGACTCCAGCCACTTCAGAAGGGGGTTCCCGGGTGCTGGCTGCTCCCCATGGTCTACAGGAAGAGCAGAGGGTCTAAATGGAGGCTGGGGAGGGCTTTGGGCAGCCAAGGTGGGAGGAAACTCTGAAGGCAGCAGCAAACAATCAGGAGCATGAACAAGAGGGCGTAGTCCTGCTGCCCAGAACCAGGTATTGCCTCCCACCCACCCTGGATGAATGGGCGCTTGCAATCCTCACATCCCCTCCAAGTGAGCGAGCCTCGTGGTCGAGTGCATCACGCCTCATACTTAAAAGCTTGGTGGGCAGGGTGTGGGAACTGTTGGGACATCTTCAGTGCTTCCCCCCAGTTCTGAACATCTCGCCTGTTTTCTGCATTGTCATGCTTGAACTCTATGTCTGCTGAACGAAGATATCCATTAGGAGTCTGTGTTGGGTGCAAAACAGGACACCTACTGCAGTCAGATATCCTACAGTTCACACTGCTCAGTGGGAAATAACCAACCCCTATAGAGCTCTAAATCTCTCTCTGACTTTATGGAGAAGGGAGCGCAGGACCCTCAAAGCAGGTCTGTGCAGCCTCAGGTTTGTGGACTGACCCTCCAGACCTTGGGAGTCTCCACAGGTCATACACACTGGCCCGCCCCCCTCATTGGCCCTGTTCTGCATCTTCCCCTAGTGATTTTACCCAGAAAGCAGTGTGTTGTCTGTACTTTTGCCACACCCACAGCTGAGGAAATGGGGCCCCCTGGTCTGGAAAAGCTTCCTCACCACTGCCCTAAAGCATGCTAGTAGAGCTGGTTCACACATAACGCCAAGCCAAACCAGAGTTTAGTGCGAAGGCACAAGTGTAAGGGTTTTGTGGAGAGACATAGATCAGTGGTAGAGCATCTGCCTTGCATGAAAAGGTCCCAAATTTAATCCTCAACATCTCCAGGTATCAGGCTCAGAGAGATAGTTCTATCTTCCTATCTATCTAATCTATCATCTATCTATATCTATCTATATCTATCTGTCTATCTATCTATCTATCTATCTATCTATCTATCTATCTATCTATCATCTATATCTATCTATCTATCTATCTATCATCTATCTATCTATCTATCTATCTTCTATCTATCATCTATCTATCTATCTATCTATCATCTATCTATCTATCTATATCTATCTATCTATCTATCATCTATCTATCTATCATCTATCTATCTATCTATCTATCTATCTATCTATCTATCTATCTCTATCATCTATCATCTATCTGTCTATCATCTATCTATCATCTATCTATCATCTATCATCTATCTATCTATGTCTAACATCTATCTATGTCTAACATCTATCTATCATCTATCTATCTATCTATCTATCTATCTATCTATCTATCTATCATCTATCTATCTATCTATCTATCATCTATCTATCCATCTATCATCTATCATCTATCATCTATCTCTATCTATCATCTATCTATCTATCATCTATCTATCTATCATCTATCTATCCATCCATCCATCCATCCATCTGTCCATCTTTTTCTCCATGGAGCTCAAAGTGGCATGCAAGGTTCTCCCGCTCCCCAATCAATCCCCACAATAACCCTGTGAGGCAGGTTCGGCCAAGAGTAAGTTACTGGCCCAAAGGTCACCCAGTGAGCTTCACGGGGATCCAAACCCTGGTCTCCCTAAGTGCGACACTCTAACCCAGAGCTTTCCAAACTTTTCATGCTGGTGACACACTTTATAGACATGCATCATTTTGTGACACGGTAATTCAGTTTTATTAGCAAACCAGAGATGAAGCTAACCCCTTTCCAGCCCTGCAGCCGACACTCTTATGTGTCGCGACACACAGTTTGGAAAGCTCTGCTCTAACCTCTGCACAACACTGGCTTTTGCCTGAAATCATAATGGCTGAAATCCTTGAGAGAGGCTGCCCATCAGTGTAGACAGACCACTAGATGGACCAATGGCCACACTTGTATTAAGGTGGCTT